ATGTATATGATTCTCTTTCCAGTTATAATATAATACCTTGCCACAGGGAAGTCTGAATACAGCACAACAGTGACTAAGCACCGTTTGCAGGTCAGGGATTTTTTTTCTTTTTTTTTTTTTTTAGTATTTTGAAAGCTCTGCATAGAAGACAGCTGTTCTGGAGGAGCAGTTTTAATAACAAGTGCCACAGAGCATCTGTGTGCAGAGAGTTTTTAGGAGATACTGTGGAGAACTGAGAAGTGTTTGTACAGTGGAGACACTGTACATGCATTTGGATCTTAGAATATAAGCAAACATGTTAAGTTGGCAGGGTGGAGAGTCATGTCAGTTTGGGAAGGTAACTCCAGGCTCGCGTGTTTACTTCCTAGCTGCTGCTGACTTCCTCTGTGGGTCTGAGCAATTTTCTGTGTTCCTTGCCTGATCTGACCCATTTTCATTTCTCTGATGGATCTACTGTTACTTACCTATCGTTAAAAAGTACCTGGAAGTTTACTTAATTAGTATTTCTAATTCCTTAGTACCTCTCAGTTAGGTTGTAGCTCTCAGAGGAGAGAGACTCTAAGACAAACCTCAAATCTGCCTCTCCATCCCTCAGTTACTCCTGGTCCAAGGTAAAATCTTGACTTACCTCCCTGAGGATGTTCCTTGAGGATGTCTATCTGTCATCTGAAGCTCCATGCAACTAAAGCAGTCTTTCATAGAACCACAGAATTACAGAATAATTTGGGTTGGAAGGAACCTTTAAAGCTCATCTAGTCCGAGACCCCTGCAATGAGCAGGGACATCTTCAATGAGATCAGGTTGCTCAGTGCCCCATTCAGCCTCTGCCCACAAGCTTTCATCACTACTTCCTTTCTTAATCTCTTTGGGCAATGCCAGCATCTAGCCCATCCCCAGGTTCATATCATGACTTCTCCTACCAAGTGATTTTTCTAGGTCCTTGCATGCAGTTATATCTAAATTCAGCTGATTTTTTTTTTTTTTCTGAGCTATGCTGCTAGGTTTGGCCACTGCTATTTAATTGTACAAATTCCTGTTTTCTTCCTACACCTCTGCCTACCTGCCTGACTACCTGCCTTGTTTTCTGGAGCTGTTGCACCAACATAAGTCATGCCTCAATCCATCCTCAGCATGTTTTGAGTTGAACAGAGAACTCTCATGTGCCATTTTCGGTGTCTGTTTCACTTGCTGAAATGCTGTCCAACATCAAGCCTTCCACAGAAGAAATATTGGGAGGTGTGTATGCTTACAGAGCTGATGATAGGAAAAAGCATTGATGCTGTGTCTTCTATTCAACAGAGCAGTAAGACAAACATGTCATTCTACCTGTTTTATTCTCCTTTTCTTTCTGTCTGAAGAGATGGGACATATTCCAGGCACAAGACTTAATCGTTATGTTGCAGAGTTCAGGAATGAGGAAGAAGTTTTTCTTCTTCTCCATCATGAGTGTAATCTTATTTTATGAAAATTACTTCACTATTAGAGTAATTTCTTGGGATGCAGCCAACAGAAGACTTTTGTCATCATTTTTCTGAAAAGCAATGCACTCGATCGTTCATTAAAAGTACATGACAAGTAAATGCGACATTTTAATTTGTGCAAAATGCACTGTTTTGGTTTCACATTTTTGGGCATAAAAAAAAGGAATTCCAGATCACATCAAGGCAATATTTTTTCTTCCTTGCCATTTAACTGCTGCACTGGAAATGGTGGATATTCACAGTCTCCTTACAGGGTCTCTGATCTTTTCACCTACTGAAAACAGGTGTGTGCACTTGGTGAACCTTATTAAACCTAAGTTAGATTTGGCCCTTGGATGTTTGCCTGCAATGGTTCAACTCCAAGTGGTGACCTAGTAGAGAATCCCTGCAAAGCTCTTTTGATATGCTGAGCCTTAGTGGACACAAAACTTCTTACTCTGTCTTCTCTTTCAAATACTTAGTTGAGATTTTTTATTAATGAAAACTGATTAACCCAATGAGACATCCTCTTGACTTGGTTTCTTATCCATTTCTTTTGGGGAAGTTTTCCTTGTGTGCTTGTGAATTTTTGAATTGCATTGATGTTTTGACAGTGGATGTATAGGAATCTCAGCACTGAATGTGGTAGCTTTACATTCCAAAGTCAGATCCAGATTTGCCTTATGGTAATGTTTGGTTTCCTTAGCACTGGCATTCCCAGTTCCCAGGCTACACTGGCAGTGGAGTGCTGGTTATCTGCAGAGCCACACTGATGATAACAAGCAGTGGCTCTTTTGTTTTGCACTGCTGTCGTGTTCACAGTGTCACAGGAACACGTGCAGGCCAAATCTATCGTGTCTCCCTGACAAAGCAGGTTGCAGTTACAGAAGATGTCAGGGATTTGTGAGTTCACTGCACATCCAGGAAACCGTGAGGCTGACTTGATGATCAGCCAGAACTGCACCTCGCTTCTCTTCCACAAGAGGAAGATAAGGACTTGTGCTGTTGCTCTCCAAAAGAACCCTCTGAGAAAGAGGGACTACTTGAGGCCTTGGCACTGAGGGCAACCCTTGCACATCTGATCTCCCAGGAAATATAAGTATGAAGTCCCAAAGAGTAAACAGGAAGCTCTGACCAAAATAAAACACAATGCAAGAAGTATTGGCAGAGCAGTAAAATGACAGCGAAGGCACCTGAGCTGTGCTGATCTGGCTGCTGGAGGAAGCCCCAGGGGCTGCTCTGCTCTGGAAGCCACAGCCCCAGCGTGGTGGGAGGCAGACATGACCCCCACTGCCCTGGTGGGTTGGTGTCCATGCTGGAGCTGGAGTTATGGGATAGTATTTTTAAGTTGGCACCATGGCAGTTCTGCACATTTTTGGAGAGGATCCCACCACCAAGTGTCCTCAAGGGTAGTAAAAACCTTATCTAAGATAAAACATCATGTAAAATATGGAGCCTATAATATTTCTTATGGGGAATCAAATTTTTTTCTCCCAAAAAAGTGGGGGTTTTACTTGCTTTTAACAATCCCAGTGAGTTCTGCTTATCCGTAGGTGCTGGCAGTGATTTGTGCAAAGCTCCCTTGCTTTGAATGGCTTTTGTTTCAAAGAATGAGAGCTGGTAATTTGAGTGGGTGCTTCCCATCTGCGAGTCCTGCATCCAGTACATCCCTGAGCACACACCTTCAAGGGCACCAGGCCTGGCAGTCTGTCAAGAGCACTTCTGAAAATTACTCCAGTGAGCTAATCAGAACATATGGGCAGATGCAATGGTATTCTCCAAAAGGGGAAACCTTACTCCTGTAAGGCTGCTGGTTTGGGAATCTATGTGAAGGAATCTGTTTTTTTAATATATCAGGCTATATTTATATGGACTTTCTTTTTTTTTCCTTAACTTTTTGACTAATTAGGAAAAAGAAATGCATAAGAATCCACATCATTTTATTCTGAGCCTAATGCAGTTGGTGAGGACTGGACACTCTGCAGTCCTGGCTCACAGCCCCCTGTGCATTACTCAGCAGAGTATGGAGCCAGAAGGAGTCACGGGAGGAGCCAGGCCTTGCATTCCTGGCTTCTTCCCATAACTGAATAAGAAAGATGCCCACATCACCTGGGTCTCCTCAAGCCTTCAAGGCTCTCAAATCAGTTCAGTTTATCACTCCATTTACAGCAAACTTTCTGGAAAGGGTGTCATTTGGACTTGGTGGGAACCATCCCAAAAGGGCAGTATGTAAAGGATTGATTCAAATTCCAGATTCTGTTATTCTGGTATTACCAGAAATGAAGTTGTGTTACTTCTCTTAACAGAGTTAAAAGTTAGGTGCAGGAAAAATACACAGAAACATTAGGTTCTGATTTTTTTTTCCACTTTCATTTCTGTAATATAGAACTGACTTGCTATCTTATCTGCAATGTATCCTGCAGCCAAACTAATCCTATCTGTGCCCTAGATTTTTATTAGCCTTGCTTGCTTAATACAGAAAGATTTGGTTTCTAGGACTCCTTTTAATTCAATTTACTACTGTGCTGCTTTTTCTCTTGAATGTGATTTTTCTGTAGTGTCCTTTAAGGATTCTTGGCCTTTTCTAACCTGGGACATATTTATAGTAACCTGATCTAGTTTTATTAATCATTAGTGATCTTCTCAGCAGGGTACATTCCTTTGTCTTCTTTCTAATATGATTCACGATACATCCCAATTTAAAGTGCCCATATAATTGAACTGCTATGCTGGGATTTATTATACTAAATCAGACTCCAGTGGATGGAGATAAGAATTTTGTTTGTCAGTTTGCACAGCACTAGTCAGATATCTGCTATCAAAATCTTTGCATTTTGGTAATAACACCTTAACATTGCTCATGTAAATACATTTTAATTTTCCTTAAGCCAGTTCATCTATTTTACTCTTTAAATATTCAGATTTCTTTTGAGACTAGTCAAGGAAAAGAGCCCTAATAAATAAATAAATAAAATCACAGAGGCAGATGTGGAGATGGGCATGAACATCAGGTTATTAGTGGTGTTTGTATGGAAATGCTCACCATGCATAAAACGGTGTGAGTACAGCAATCTGCTCTGTAAGTTTGACTCTGTGAACACATTAATCTGATTGGAGGTGGTTAAATGCAGGCTTAAATGGATGAAAAAAATTTAACTGTTTTAATAAATCCATCTTGTACATGCAGTCCAGCCATAAATAATATCAGACTTACCACAAAATTATAAAAAAAATCGAGATGTCTTTTTAGACACATAGGAGTTAACAGAGTATTCTGCACTGTTCTGTACACGAGTGTGTACATGTACTCATAGACATACAAGGTACTTGAAGCCTGTGAGTTGTAGCTCCTAAGTTTGATTTAAAAACTGAATGAGTTCATTATAATCCTACTCCCCTCCCCTAAAAATCCCCTAAAAAAAAAAAAAAAAGTTGTATGAGGAATCAATCTAATCTGCTTTACTAAATGAACATGTGAAAGTGCTTATCTGGGATAAACCTGGGTACTATACATATTTTTCTCTCTTTTTCCTTAAACAGAATGAAAATGCCCTTGTGAAAATAAAGGAGTTAGGAGTCGAGCTTGCAAAGATCAGGGAGGAAGTTGGTAAGTAGTACAATCAAAATGACAACAAAGTGATTTTCTCACTTTACATGAAAGCAGTTATTATTATTCTCTGTGACCTGATCCTGAGGAACCTCCATACATGTGATGAAGTGTTTTCTGAAGCCCAGTGGCAAAAGGTTTTGTGATTTTGCAGGGAACCTTGATTTTACCTCTTTGCTGTGCAGATGAGTTCATCACCACACACACTGGAGCCAGGATTTTTTTCATCACCACATACACTTGTGCATCATCTTTGCTATACAAATTGTTCTCCATAAATCCATCGCTTCTGTCCTCAAACACTAGTGCTGCTGAGAAAAAATTGCTGTGTGATGAGAAGTGGGAGCTCGGGACTATTGCAGTGCCCAGTGACTGGGAATGCATCACCAGCTTATGAACATTGCTGTGTTTTGCAGTTCAACTACAAACCAAAGGATACCAAGCTCAGGATTTGCTTGTTAATATCTCTAAGGTCTCTTCCTGGTCGAAAGACAGAAAGAACAATGCATCCCCTTTGGTCTGTGTGTTCCCTGTATATGTCCTGCATGCTCTTTTCCTTTTTAGTTTCTGATCTAGACTGGAGAGAGAGTGTAAAGATATTGCCACTCCTGAGAGAGAAAGTGGGCTTTCGCTTTGGCTTCAGCCAACAGGCTGAGTTCTTCTGGTCTTAAATCTTCCCAGAATGAGTGTGATGTTGGATTCACCTACCTCAGGGCAAAAGGAGAGCAGGGGGACACCCTGAGTACCAACAGGTGTTGGAAACACTGATGGCTGGAGCTATGAATAGGGAGGACCTCTCAGCTTTCCCTGCATGTGGGAAACCAGTTCCTGGGTCACCCATTAAGCAGAGATTGTGTCAATGTGGCCAGAGCATGACGTGTCCAGCAAAGAGAGGTTCAGGTCAAACCCTTGTGGGACAGGCAGAGCTGCAGATCCTCCCTATGCTTTGCCTTCACCTTGCCCATGACAGCCCACTTCAGAAAAGCTGAGCACAGCCCTTTTCAGATGCCCAGCATCTTGTGCTCTCTGCTTTGCCTCTCTGAAATGCTTTGGCTGATTGTCATTTCACAGAGAGCTTTAGTGTCCCCATGGCCAGTGCATACTGCAGCAATAGCAAAACAGGTTCCCAGTTATTCCCTGATGCCTGCCTTCCTCCATCCTCTGCATCTCTATACCTCTTACAGTATAATTGTTGCCTCTGGTGCTTTCTTCAGGCAGGGCACATCTGAAGTTCTTGGTTCAATAGCCACTTGTCATCTGAGAGCCCTACCTCAATCTAGCAGGCTGGGTTTGCTCATTTTCCTGAGCACTTTTTTTAAGTGGCAGTGACATGGGGAGGAAAGAGAGGTTCAGTGCTGGAGATAAAGAGCTCTGCTTCCATTTACACCATGTTTGCACAGCTGAAGTGAGTACAAATCCCTGGTGGTTTTGCTGGAGAAGAGAACTTTGCCAAGGGTCTAACTGGTGTCAGTTTGGGGGTCTCAGAGCAGCATGCTCAGTAACAGGAGATCCCTGCTCTGCCTGCCCTTGCACATGCAGCAACAGACACCTCCTCTGCACAAAGCTGAGACCTGGGGCCATGTGTGGGGACAGTTTTGATAAGAACCACAGACAGCCCAGAAAAGCAGCCTGAGCTACACTGCTTCAGAAGGGAGATAAGCTGTAGTTGTGTATGGGCTTTCTTCCTCAAAAAGGGAAAAGATGGTGTGAGAGTCCTTTCCTCAGTGGTCCTGTGGGCATGTGTAACAGAGAAGAGTCATTACAGGCCACCTCTTCCTCCCATCACTCTGGAAGACATGGAGATGCTGAGCAGAGGCTCTTTGTGAGTGACACAGGTGGCTGGTCACCTGCTTGGTGGAGGAAATCCTCCCTGTGCAACCCTGAGATGCAACATGGCCAGCTAGAAGCACTCCCACCAGGGATGAACAAAAAGATGAACATGTGCAGGTATTGCACTTCAGCAGAATGTGAAATAATTCATCAGCAATTAAAATCTTAGTACATATCCCTAGATATCCCTAGTATATGTCCCATATTCTATTACACATGGAAGGTAAATGACTATGTTTTTTAGTATAAATCAAAAATTGCTGCACAGTCTGTTTTCCTTTGGTATAAAATTACAAAACTTAATTTTGTGAGACAACCAGTGTTTTAAAACTGTGGACAAGGTGAAATGGTAAATGCCATGTACATGAGGGCATTCTCATTAGCACAGTTCTTTGCAGTCTCTAAAGCAGTTCAAGCTGAGGTTATTACTGCAGGCATGAGGGTGCTACTGGACACATGCAGCCCACCTGTGCTATAGGAGGATTATTTTGGTCTCACTGTCAGATGGATCAGTGTGTTGTACAACATTGTACATTATTTATGCAAATAAAGAATGAAACTGTCCTTTATTTGACAACAGCAATCTTGGGTGATTCTATGAAGAAATTCTGGGAAAATCAGAGCATGTTATTTTGACTACAAGCAAGCTGTAGTTCTGACTTGCTTCCATCACTTTCTTAAGTAGTTTTTCATTAATTTAAAAATAACCAGTCCAGTTAAACATCATGGGTGTTGGTCAGAAATTCCTGATTTCTCATGTGTAAATTCACCGTGTCAGACTCACTGATGCCAATGCCTGAATGAATCAGTAAAATAAGGCTGGACTAGCCAGGTTTGATATAGGCAGTGAGTCCAACACTTCATTGTTTGGGCAATAGCTGTAAATCAGAGTTTTAATTTGGATGCTGAATGTGCTTGGTTTTCACAGTGTGCAGTCTTTAACTTCAACAGAAACTGCAGGATTCTGCTATGCAAAGCAGTGAAACTGCAACAGAGAACCCACTGTTCAGAAAAATAAGAATATATGTTTAAGGAAAATTCTTGTGGCAAATAAAACCATTGCTGAAGCAATAGTAGTGATGGAGTATGTGTAAAAATAGCTTAGGGAGACCTGCATCCTTCTGGAGCCAGGCAAAATATTGAGGTCAGACAACACTGTCCACTTCTACCCCCAGCACTCCTGTGAAAGTATCACACCGCTTCTGAAACCAGCGTGGGTGAAATTGGAAAGTGATTCTCCCTTCCGAGTCCTGGGGAGGAATCTTGGCCTCTGTAAACACTGAGAGACTTGTTATTTAAAGCAATAAGGTTTACTCCTGTATTTTGCTAGAAATAGCAAGGCTAGGAAAACATGACAAGCTACACTCAAGTTCTACACTCAAGAGACAGATCTTTATAAATTATAAATATAAGCACTTTTCAGCTGCAACACTGAGTCTCTTTCAATAAAGAGGTTTTGAATACCAGCTATTTCCCTTCAAACTAGTGGAAATTAAATGTCAAAATTACCTGCTCCTTCACTGTCAGACCAATGACATGAAGTGTGTTGAGAGGAGGTATGGAGATGCATAAAAAGCCTAGATGAAGGAAAGGCAATGAGATGTCAGGTTTAAAATTTGTATTATCTGTGTTCTCAAGCATTTCGAATCCAAAGCCTTTGTGCCATCTCCTCATGGATAAGCTTTCCAGTCAGAGGACACTTAACCTGAGTGTGGTGGCTATGATTTGTCTGTGATTTTGGGGCCAAGGGTCAGGAAGAAGAGCTCATTTCTCATGTCAGAAGGAAATAATCCCTCTGTAAGGCCACGAGACACCAGCCCCCAGTTCCCACAGAAGCTGCACTCCTGAATGTAAGGTGCCAGGGCTGCACTGTGGCTCTGACTGTGGGTGGTGGGGGAAGGAAGGTCAGTCCACTACTGACATCTACCTTTCCCTCACCTTCCCAGCCCAGCCTGAAGTGGGTTTTGCTCATCTGTTGTGCACTCAGTGCTCAGGAGCAGGGAAGCTGCAGTAGCTGGTCTCACTTAACCCAGCACACTGACATCCCAGGAAATGCCACCTTGTATCAGAGTCATTTCCAGCCTGGAAGCAGCAATGCAGATACCTACAGAGAAGAAGAAAACCAGGGTGTAACTCTTCAAAACAGAGCAGTAATAGTTGTGCTCTGCTTGTCTTGTTCCATGTCAGTAATACATTCTTATAACTTTGCAGAGTCATTTGTTCTTTTTCCTACAAGAGTAGCTCACTTTAACCGTATCCCTGTAAGATAAATTCTGAGTTTCCGGCATCATTAGCAGGTCATCTGTTCAGGCATCTGTGATGGGGTCCCTGCTGGAGATGACCCAGCTGTTTCACCAGGCCCGCACAGCTGGCTCCAGCAGGGCAGGCTGTCCCACACTGGTTTTGGCTCAGTGGGCAGCACAGCTGCAGATCCCTGGGCTCCAGGGCTGTTGCCTCCTGCTGTGCCTGTCCCAGGAGAGCTAGGCCCAAAGGTCCATCTCCCTGCTAAGAAGAGATCCAGTTTTTCCTCAGCACCTCAGTCCTCAGCCTCATTTGTCTTGGTCTGAGACTTATGGTAGGGATCACTCCTTCTCATTAGAGGTGTTTAATATTCTGTATAGGGCAAATTGCCTCATTTTCTGCCTCCAGGAGTATTGTTGGGTGTATGGGGAACATGCCTTGCAGGCTCACTTTCCCTGCTTCCGTCTTCCCTCCATTTTGCACCTGCGTCAGGGTCTGATTTGTGAATAGTCTTGTATTGCAAGTTACAGGATGTGTTTCAGATGAACTTTCTTGTGGTTAGAGCACGTTTCGTTTCCCAGCCCTCCCTGTGTGCTGGGTAATCTCATTAGAGAGCTGGAGAGAGATGGGGTCCATTACATCTCCTATTTAAAGCTTGAGTAAGTTTGAGTTCTACTGAAGGCAGAGCTGCAAGCACAACCCCTCCTGCTCTGGGATCACTTTACGTGCCAAAGATAATAAAAAAGCAAAAAGCAAGAGAGAGGGTTTAGAGCTCTAATCCAGACTGCCAGGAGACAAGACATTCCAGCTAATGTACCATTCCATTCTGGATATAAGGCAACTGGAAAAGCTTTTTGTATGCTGCCACTGAGGTGCTGAACACACTGGTTCACTCTTTCAATCAGGAGCAGACAGCTTGACAGGGACAGAGTCCCTCACAGTGCTCCAGAAAATGCCAGGATCAGAACAGGAGCCCGGCAGTGTTTCTCTGTATGGACATACTGAACAAGTCTGGATATTGGTGTCCAGTAAGTGTGGAAGCAGAGCTCTAAATAGGGTGAAAAATAGCTGTGTGGGGAAGGGAATGGTTAGCTTCGGTGTCAAACTACCTTGGCATGGGTGCACCTAACATAAACTGTGGGGACAGCACTGGTAACTTGGACAAATTATTGCTATCCTGGGAAAAATGAGCACAGTCTGACACCGTAGTAGAAAGAGCAGGAAGATAGAGGTATTGAACAAATATGTTGTCGTAGATAAATATGGGTTTGAAGCTTTCAGCAGGGAGACAGCTGCTCCCAATCCTCTGACTTACAGTGCCCCATGGGCCTGAGCATGGCACGTGCATCTTGAAAGGCAAGGGAAGGATAAATATGCAGTCAGTTTGTTCAAAAACCTGATCATCTTTCCAAATCAGCTATAGGTCTAAATCAGAAAGAAGATCTAGCAGTGCCATTAGAAACCCATTTCTCCTTCTTTGGTATTCTGAATGTTATGGCCATGATGATTTTTATCACTTCTTACATGTTAGATCTTTACAAGTGAGCAAGCATGCTTTGTTCATGTACTCTGGCTGATCTTGTCCAGCTTGCATCAAGTCTTCAATATCTGGATTTTTTGCAACTGTTCTTTAGCAAAGGAAATGACTGAGGACACAGTGTTTGTGACGTTGCTATCCTGGGACCTCGGGGATAATAAAGGTGAGGAACCAGATGGGGGAATGGACTGATTTTCCTTGACTTGATAGAACTGTTGGAAAACACTGGTGTGAATTCTGAGACATAGTCAGTGGGTTAGTTCACCAGAGTAAAAATTTCACACTTTCTGATTGCCTTCAGTATCAGCCTTTCATTGTACTCTCTGATGCCATGAAGCACACAAGATAGTGGTTTGAATACAAAAATATTTTAAGCAAGTGTGCATTAATAGATTTGAATGGTCCTTGCTGGAGCTGGAGACAGGCCTATGGGATGAGCAGCTTTGAACAGCTGGAAAATGGGATGTATGAGATACAAATCCTTCTGGTCAAGTGTTCAGTCATACCTCTCATGCAACAGAGTGGAGAGAAGCACTAAGCTCATTGCCCTACCAACAGGTCCAATGCCACTGCTTGGTCCTGGGCAGTGTGAGGACTGTGAGGTCTTGTCTCCACAGACCTCAACACGGCGAGATGGAAGAAGCTGCTGAGCGAGAAGGAGGAGCTGGAGAGGCGCTTCGAGGAGGAGGGGAAGCAGCTCCGCAGGCAGCAGCAGGAGGAGATGCAGGCATTGGAGCAGCGGCTGCAGGAGGAGTACAAAGCCAAGAAGGAGAGCCTGCAGGAGCAGCACAGGCTGCAGCTGGAACAAACCAAATTGCAGCATCAGGACCAGGTCAGTCTCCACCTGTTGCCTTTGAAGAGTAGTCCATTCTAGTACTGATTGGGTTCAGGTAATGAAATACATTGAACACTCCAACATGAAGACACTGGTAATGAGTTTTGAGTGGAAAAATGTAATCCTTTACTGCTATAATAACTTTACTGCTCTTTCTCCCTATTAGTTCCACTGTTCTTTCTACACACTAGTCTGTTACATTGCCATGTCGTCTTCACATGTTTGCTGATGTTTTACAATAAAAATATTAAGATTAGTCCTGCTGCCCACACATATCTTCTCCTCAACCCACCTATTTTAGTCAGTTTATGACTAAAACCAAGGGTTATAAGGGTTCCACAAAGGTAAGACCAGCAGAACCAGCCCATTGTTATTTGGGCTGAATAAAGTGATAGCAGCCATGCAACACATGCTGTCTAAACATCAAGCACATGATGCACTCCAGGTCCCCTGATTGCTGCCCCACCACTGAGCCTAATCTCCTGGACTGTACATCCCAAGTGTTTCTCCTTGCTTTGCTTTCTGTGTGTAGACAGGAGTATTCTCACAAGCAGCTGCTTTTGTCTGCTGTTGTCAGAACAAACACTGTGACTCAATGCAACTGGGCTGTTTTGTCCTGGACAAACTACCTATTTCTATTCATGAACTGATTTCTAAAGATGTGTTAGAAGGTGCTATCAAATAGGTCTTTATGTTCTGAATCAGATTCTTAAAAATATTTCCCAGTAAATGGTTAGAACCTATGCTGAGCCATGTCTTTTGGTTCTCATTTCAGTTTATGCAAGTTGGTTTTCTTGCAATGCCCTTCAAATTTTCTGCTTTTCTTCCTGATATGAAGGAGGGCTTGTGTTCCCAAAAGCCTTGACATTTTTTTTCCTTTCACTGTCAGTGTGTCAGTCTGGCTGGTAAGAAGATGCTGGCTCTAGCTGCCAAGGCTTACCTCTCCTGGATCACCTAACATCAGCATTTGTGAAGGAATTTGTTAATTTTTTGCTGAAATAGCTTATAGCTTAGCTCTGCTACTCTTTGAAGTGTTTCTGTGAGCTCTCAGGACCACAAGAACAGATGTTGATTCTTCTCCTCTCAAGCTGATCACTGCAAGAAGGCTGTTCAAAGTCATTGTAGGACTTGACTAGAAGTATGCTTATTTTTCTCGTGTTTTCATCTGTTGTGACTCTATTCATCATCACGGACGAGCAGTGGAAACACATCCTTCCCTCTGTGGGGCAAATAGTTCTTGGTTTGCTCCAGAGCTCTGTGTTCCCTGATTACTGAAAATAACACAAACATTCCTCTCCATTGCTTTGAAAGTGCTTCTGTGACCCTAGGATCTCAGAGCTTTAGCCCACATTTTCAATTCACAGTTCAGTTAGCATGATGAGTTTTAGCAGGTTTTCCCTTTGAATTCCTGCTCTGCTGTAGACCCATCCTGTGCTGAGCACTCTTGGATCAGTGGGGGCTGACAGGCCGTGCTGGAAAGCTGCTCACCAACATTTCTTGGCCAAGGAAATGGAGCTCTTGCACTGCACATGAGAAAAGCCTTGTGCTTGAGCTGCCCATCTGCATGAGGGGGATTTGAATTTGCATTCTTGAAGGCAATAACAATAGCAAAATCCTTCTGACCATGGATCTGCATGTATTTCTGTATCCATAAATCTAATTTGGAAGATACACATCCCACATTCATGGTTTCCAGTCCCAGCTTAGCCTTCCATGCTGTGTTGCTTCAGTCACCGCTTAGTTCACTACCAGACAGCTGTTATTTGTTTGGAGACACATTTCCTGTGTCAGGTTTTGGAGGTTCAGCTGTCTCTGAGGAGGTAGCAGAGCATGAGAGCCAAACTCCTCACAAAATGATCTTGTGTGCCAGTGCATTCTTACATCTCCTTGCAGCTAAAGGCAGAATTGCAAAGTAAAGGCTGTGATCTGTCTTGTCAGTGTTTCTCACTTGGGGTGCTCAGCTCAAGCTGTCTTGCCCAGCAGCTTACTGAACTTCTCCCACGAGAGCTCCTCTTGATTTTACTTTATTAAGCCTTAAAAATCCCACCTGAGGTACTTTCCATAGCCAGAAATAAACATGACTTGTGTTAAGTGAGGTGATCAGGCTTACAGAGTAAGTTACTAGCATCCAAGAGAGCTCTTCCCAGTGCCAAGTTGACTATCTGCCATGGAAAACTGCAGACAGGACGTCACACTGGAAGATTAAAGAGAGCCATTTGGGATGTGGATATGAAACACACAGAAGGCAGAAAAATCCCTACAGATAATTTGGGACATGTTTAATTTTCTTTATAGATAAATAACTTGTCAAAGATGGTGGCAGCAAGAGGACACCCCTTCACCTTCTGAGGGCGTGAGCATTGAGGGTAATCATTCCTAGGAAGTGCTGTTCAGTTGAGAAGCAATTAGAGTGCAAATAAAGGCTCAGCAAGGGCAAGGTAAAGAACATGTCAATGCTCATGAGGCTTCAGCTTACAGACATCACATACAAGGACACTGTGCTCTGGGAGAAGCCAGGTCATAGTCCTTACCTCATTAGTAGCCCTTTGAGGCATCTGCTCCCCACCTTTCTCAGCTCTGTCATGCAATACATCAGCAGGCTGAGTTCCCATTATTTTGCGAACAGTTCTTCAACACCTAGCTATCTCCCACATTATTATGAAAATTAGTTTGGATAATTTTAAATTCCACATTAAATGCCCAACTTTCATTCTAAGAACATGTTTTCTCCAATATGGTTGGAAATTTGGCTTCTGGTGGGTTACCTAATACATATGTTTGACAACTAAAAGCAGTGAAATAACATTTATTCCAGTCAGGGCAAACTCAGCTGCAGTAAACTTCTACCATTATTTACATAACTGTGAGCAAATAAAGCTGTTTAGAGTCAAGTCACTTAGCCATGAGCAGAACAGCTGTTTCACTGTAAATGTATAATAGTTTGATCCTCTGCCTTGCCAGATATCACAGATCATATTGTGTTAAATGTAGGAAATAAAATCACTGTGGTTAAATGTAGGGAATAAAATCACTGTGGTTACAAACCCCAGAAAATCTGATGCATTGCATTCAGAAAGTGCTCTGGATCACTGAGTCAATCTTGACCAGGATTTCTTATTGTAGCTCCTTTAATTATTCATATCAAAAGGCCATCATTAGGGATCTCACTTAGCCTTTTGCCAAGTCTAGTAACAAACAATGTACTGAAGGAGTCCCAAGCCCAAAGAGTGCTCTAGAGCACAGGCTGCCCACAGCTCTCTTCCTCTGCACTCCTCACTCCCACGATGGCTGTGGGCTGTGGGCATTGTTATAATTCAGATTAATGGTATGTTGAGACTTCTGAACATTTAATAAACAGCATCTCCACCTAAGGGCTTTTTGACCTTTTGCTTTCTTATGTACCTCTTCATCACCATTAAGTTAAAGGAACAAAAATACCATTAGCAGTGACTACACGCTACCACTCAAGGCATCAACATGGCAAAACTGGCTCGGGTGCTGGAAGTGTCACATTCAGTAGATCCCTTTGCTGTCTCCAGCTCACTGGAGCTCTCCAGCAGTGGCTTGTCAGCGTGCCACAGCCTGTCTAACCATGTGTCCATGTCTGTGCTCACTGTTGCTGGAACAGGTGGAAGATCTCACGGCTGTACATGAAGCTGCAATGTCACAGCTGGAGAATAACCACATAGTGGCCATTACAGTACTGCAGGATGAGAATGACTGCAAGATTCAAGGTAAGCCAAAGACAACCCAACAGCTACACAGCTGTTCCAGAGCAGGAATTAATGCTGTAGTGACACTCTGTAGTGACAGAGCAGATTACATAGAAAATTTGTGTTGGTCTAGTGCTTTCACGTGGGGTGGACCACCAGTTTCATGCTAGGGCAGAGAGAGAGATGTCTGCAGTCTACAGCATGTAACTTTGACCTGAGATTATCTGAGGGGTGTCTCTGGGTCAAAGATAAGGTCTTCTCTATGTGTTGCTGAAAATAGAATCCAAATTCCACATCGCTTCTCACACATGCTTTTTCAAGAGCCTAATCCTCAGATGCTCAGGAGGATAGAGCTCTTGGAATATCCCTGAATTTAGGTGCTCAAATACCCACAGATTCTTCCAAAAACAGCTTCCAAAATTTAATTATTTCCAGTAGCAAACTTCTAGCCATGCTGAGCAGACTAAAGCCTCTCACTGGTGCAAATCTGCACCTCAGCACTGTAACCTTTATTTTGTGTTACAGTTTGGCCACAGGATTGATGCTGCAGACAGAGCTCTTCCCTCCCTACCAATTCAATGTCTAAACATTTGCCTTCGTGCATGCTTTAGCTGACATTTAACAGTAATCTGTACAATCTCTCTATTTTTTCCTATATTTTAAATATCTCCAGTAGGTTTTCCCACATTTCCTAGACCAAGCCATATTGCTTAGCTCTGCATTGTCAATTGGAGACACGGTCCAGAGCAGAACATGAACTGAGAACAGTCTGTTCTCCTCTCTCATGGGCAGAGGAGGTACCTAGCACAGCATTTGTAAATCAACATATGCGATTTTGAAAAAAAATAAGTAAAAAGCTGACTCTTGCTGGAGGATATTCTTATTGCTCCATTTTTTCAGTATTTTTTGATGATGAAATTCAGTTGTGGTTCATCAGGCGTCTCTGGTGGCCGAAGTTTGTGCTCGCTGCTCGTGGTGCGGGTGTGAAATGCCCTCCTGTGCCTGGAAAAGGCACTGCAGCGGCCGCGGGCGTGCCCGGCACTGCTGCCGTGTGTCACACACCGCTGCCATGTGTCACACAGCGCTGCCGTGTGTCACACACCTCTGCCGTGTGTCACACACCGCTGCCGTGTGTCACACACCTCTGCCGTGTGTCACACATCACTGCCGTGTGTCACACATCGCTGCCGTGTGTCACACACCGCTGCTGTGATTGCGGCTGCTGAGCGGGGTTAGAAGGCAGAACCCATGGCCTTGGCAGGGAAAACACAAAAAATACAGTGTCCATATACTAAAAAGGCAGCTGCTACTACTCCACTGAATGATGATTTGATGCCATTGCTTTAGAGATTCAACTTTATTTCACTTTGTTTATTAAACTTTTGGTTTAGTATGCCCAGGGTGAGTTATTCTAGCAGAAAAACCTTTAATCAAGTGTTTTGTCTTTTTTGTGTCACTACTGGAATAAACCTCTTAGCTCATCTACCAGAGCTTGGGGAGAAGCACTGTCATTTGTATTTTTGCATCTCAGGTGGCGGCCCTCCTCTCTATCCCCCCAAAGAAATTCCAACCCTAGCTTTTAAATGTATCCAATTTTAAATCCTTTGATCTAGGGATTCTCACTCTGAACTGTCAAATAGCCCATTGTCAGAGTAACCCTTTCCAGATCAGAGTGCCTGGGAGCTGAAAATTCTGAGCATGGCTGAAAAATCAGAATCTGGTCACATAGAAACAGAGGTACCTGCAAACAGTGAAAGATCAGGAAACTCTGATTTTCAGAACAATTTACCTAAGGTCACATATTGAATATTGCTACCAGTTTCCTGTTCCATGTCCTAAAACTGCGTCCCAAACTGCACTTGGCTCACAACATATGTGCTCTCCTACCCTGGTTTGCTGGACTTCACTCAGTAATGTCATGTCTGTGTAACCTCTCCAGAACTGAATACTGCTCACAAACTGGAAAAGGCACAACTAGAGGAGACATTTGAAAAGCTGCGTCTGTCGCTCCAGGTTAGCAGTTTCTTTATTTCCCACCCTGTAATGGTGCAGGGGAGCAGCTGATGGGCAGCCCTGGACACGCTGCCCGCTGCCAGCATGCCAGGCTCTTACCAGCCCTGGTGCCTCCTGTGCTCTGCCTGTCCAAACTGGGATAGAGCACCAAACCCTCGGGATTTCTCCTCCCCCTGGGCTGGTTCACAAGAGAGAGAAAACTTAAAGGGGCTTAAGGGCATCTGGATAAAGAAAGAAATGTCTTTTTGACCCTGCTGTCTGCTGGCGAATTTGAGCTCTTCCCTGCTTGATGGGGGGGACTCTGGCACCTGCAGTGGCTGTGAGCATCGCCTTCTCTGCATGGTACCCGCCAGCTGGCACCCCCAGGGCTCAGAAACGGTGACATCTCCCAGCCTGGCCGTGTGCCTGTGTCTTTAACCTCCTCCCTGCTGCCTGAAGGTGGGAAAGCCGGTCCCACGCTGTAGACACATCTCCAGTCCCACCGGAGGGCAGTGCAGTCCCTGGCGTGGGCTGCCCCAGAGCTGGCCCTGCTGTGCAGCCAGGCTGTGGATGGCCAGGGTCAGCCCTGCTCATCGCAGTTCCCACATCCCACTGTTTAACACCAAGGCCAAAGTCGTCTAATCCTTTTAAAAACTCCATGCTGTTCTCACTCCCTAGATGAAGAAATCTCAAGGAGTGGAGGGCAGAACTGCGCCCCTGTGACGCAAGCTAAGGTTGGAAATGTGTGAACAAGTAAAGATGCCAGAGCAATTAATGCAAGCCCTGTTTGATTTCACAGGCAGAGATGAATTGCAATTTTTAAACCCCCTGACTAGCACATATTGTTGCACTGCTGCGACAGCTCGAGGCATGTCAGCAGTTTTGCAATAAGGGCTGATGTAATGTTCCAGACAAGAAATCACAACTGTGAAAGATAAAAATACCATCTTCAGAGCAACTGTGGATTTTACAGGTGTGGTATAGACAGAAATGCCTTTGATGGTAACAGAAATATGATTGCCTAAAATAACATATTGTTCCCATGTATAGCTCTGAGACGAAATTATGATCATATAAATTCCACACCACTAACTCATCATTGCGTGTTACCATGTTAGAAGCTTAGAGAGAGGAAGGAAACAGGTATCTCCTGCCTCATTTGGACTCTAAGGACCACACAAATGCATGTGATATAAATGCCAGCTCTTCCAAGGAAGGACATGTCTGTTCTCATCCAGCACAAAGTGATGGGGTGATTTAGCATCAGCCACAGGTGTCACAGGGATTTTGTGATTCCCTGAGGCTTATCAAATACCCCTTCTATTTTCAAGTGGCCTTATCAACTTACAGGGGTGTCTAAGCCTTATTTAGCTTCCCTGATAAACCACTGTCTGGTTTGGCAGTGCAGACTGACCACTATGAATGTGAGTGTGCTGATAACACAGCTGATGTGTGAATTGGTGTGTTTCCCCCCCCCAGGACCAGATAGACACCCTCACCTTCCAGAATCAATCTCTTAAGGCCAAAGCAGACCGGTTTGAAGAGGCTCTGAAGAAAAACACTGAGGAACAGCTGAAGGTAGATGACAACTCTTACTATACAGGCATCAAGATACATGTTCCTAAGTGTTACACATCACCTGATATAATGAAAAGCAATTGGATTCTCACTCCAGGGGCAGGGGGCAAGTCCCAGCTGAGACCCTGAATACTGAGCTCTGAGGAAGAGTCACGAATCTTAGCCAAAGGGGAGACAATATCAGGGGTCAAATGGGCTGCAGAGCTCCAGGTAGTTTTCACACCACTGATTCTCCTAAGCCACAGGGTTACATGAAGGTCTCTTATGGCTGAAGATGTATGTATGGCTGACATATCCAAATCCCTGATATATTTCCTAGATTGTGCGAGCTCCGTATCTACACTTAGAAAAAGATTTGAAGAGCTTAAAACATGTTCTGGAAATGAAGAACCTCCAGATTCACCAGCAGGAGAAGATGATTATGGAGCTAGAAAAACAGGTGAGTTGTCATTTTTCCTACAGAGGAGAAGGTAACACTGGAGAAGTTTGTATTACCTCTGTAATACATCACAGAGGTAATTCTGGAGAAGTTTGGTTACAGCAGATGAACTTAAGAGAGGGGAGAACCCACATGAGGTTGGGGCAAGACACAGTCAAAGAGGTTCACATGCATCAGTCTGGGTTGCTTCTTCATACAGTACCTGCTCAGCATGTTAGGTGACACAGCGAGGTGAGTGGTGAAGGAAGAATGGGGAAAGGGAAATTTGTGGCAGCCCAGGGCACACCAGCCTGCACATATGCCCCTACAGGAATCAGGTAGCCCTTTAGGGCTGGAGAGGGCACGTGGGGGAAGATTGAGCCATGGTGTGTCTTGCTGCTGCTCCTGCAGGCATTTAGGGAGCCACGTGTGGATTAGCAACACTCAGCAAGCAGGCCCTAGCAAGGCTTACTCTAGAAGAGCTCTCTCCAGCCCTCCAGTCATGTTTTATGCAGGCTATGCTGTTTTCTACTCCTTTGCTTCTGGGATTCCTTAATGAAGAACTCCCCAGTTCGCCATCAATTACATTTTTTGTGGGAAAGGGGATTCATTTTGTACAGCATAACCTGCAGTGACAGTAAAACAGTGTGGTGACAGGATGAGGCAATACCTCAGCTGGGAGCTGTGGCAGCTGGTTCAGCACAGCATTCAGCAAGATTTGTTTCCATTTACAGGGAAATTTGAGAACTCTGGTGATTATTTTGCTGAACAGATGCTTTAGTAAGTGGATGCAGAGAAAAGTGCCTCTTTGCAACTGAGGCTTATTATCTCTGCTCCTTCCAATGTACTACTCTTGGAGCCAAGCCAGGATTTGGAAACACTGGGGGAAAAAAATCCCAAAGAACAGCCTATATAATTCCTGGTCCTTTAGCTGCTTTTGCTCATTAACTGCATACGAGTGCACAGTCCTGTTCCTGCCCTTTATCACAGTAACACACTGGGTCTGCTGTGGCCCAAAGGCACAGCTGCTTTCCATTTCAAGATACATCTTTGTAAGTGCCAGAACACCTGCAGGACATCTCCAAATGCCTCCCAAGGGAGCAAGAGGGCATTTCAAACACAGGGTCACCCTTGGCTCCTTGGCAGCTGAAAGGGAGGCTGGAAATGAAGGTGGCATAGCTACTACTTGTGAGAACTATTGAAGAAGCAGAGAGTGAGCCTGTGATGGTGATTCCTCTCTCAGAGCATTTCAAAACAGGGACAGAATCCATGTGCTGCTCTAACAAAATAAATGGGGACAGACCAGAATATCTGAGAATCAGGAGTATACTTCACAATTACCTGCACAGAACAGAAAACACAATCTAAAACTGATGTCTCCACCATTAAGTGTGAGTTATTGCTATCCCCAGTGCACAGTATTTTGGATCTTTATAAAAGGTTGGGAAATTCAATAACCAAGTTCATACAGAGATAAGGTTACCCTGTGCTATCTTGTTTTCTTTCAAAAGTGTTGAATTCAGCAAAATTTTCAGCTGGAAAACCAAGGACTAAGGTGATAAAGTATGTCAAATTCAAAGCTTGGGGAAAACAGGGTACCTGAGGCTGTGGGACATGCCTGTAAATATCTTACTAATACACTGCTACTATGTCCTCAAACTCTGCCCTTGAACTGTGTTGAATAAAAGCTACCTGTGCTTGGGATAGGATTAATTTCAATTACTTACAGCTTAAAGTTAAATGTCTGGTTTAAGCTTGTCACTTAAGCTGACATTGTCAGCAGCAGTGAGAAGAGTCTTCAGAGGCCAGTCCACCTCATGAGAATGCAGCACACTCTAAGGCTGCTGCTGGGCATCATCTGCCCTGGTGGGTGACTCTTTCCTCTCCATAACTGAGGAGTCATAATCCTGGAGGCTGGATGTCAGACTGTAATGTCTGGAAGATGTACATCATCCCATCTTGCACTCCTCCTTCATCACTGGACTGACCACTCATACCACAGTGCTGGGCAACGTTCTGTGCTGGGTGATGCTCAAGTGTCACCAGCACTTTCTCCAACCTCTGGTAATGCTGGCTCCCTGGGGGACAAAAGCTGTGGGGCACCACTGAGGAAAGCATCTGTTTGCACTGAACAAAACTGAGACCCTTCTCCTCCTGCTCAGTTACAAGTAAGGGCTGGTTCAGCTCTGCCCCTGCTCGGTGCTCTGCTGATGGCCCCAGGTACTCCACCAGCTTGATGTGGTGTGAGTCAGATCTCTGTGTCTCAGCTGCAGTCAAGAAAACCACCTCCACCCATCCTCAAATTTTAGAAGTTGCTCCACAGATTAATATAGAACAAATTATCTTGTATCAGGTGCTGAGTGTTCTTCAGATTTAACAAACCTTCTTTTGCTGCAGGTTGAAAAAAATTTAAAACTGGAAGAAAAAATCACCATGCTGCAACAGCAGAACGAAGAACTCAGAGCCAGGATTGAGCAAAATACTGTCATAACAAGGTTTGTGCTGGTATTTGCAATCTGTCTGAGCTTGAAAGGAGTCCACAGGTCTTAATTGTCCAAGGCTGACACTTATTGCACTTATTTCAGAAGGGGAAAAATTTATTTCCTCCTGAAAATGTATTTGTGTTCTAGTCTCCTTGTTTTATTAAATATATATATATATATATATATATATATATATATATATATATATATAGAAGGCCATGTATCTGTCTGTGTATTTCCATGATTTTGATATGCTGCTGAGAACAAGCTTGCCAATGATTCTGATCTCAGTATCAGTACCCTGAGACCTGTTAGTCAGTGGGTAATGAGGATGCAAAATGGAAAAATCCTGGGAAAGACATCCTAAGGATGTCATTGTCACCCAGGCAAGATTAACCTTTGGCAGGTTTTTTTCATCAGCACTGCCTTTTTGCAACCTTGTCACAATGGGACAAGGGTGACAAAGCTCCTTGTTAGGTGACATAAAGAGCAGGGTAGGATAGTCCCTGTCCCAGAGAGTTTATATCATGCTGTAAGGCTGGACACCACAGCTGGAGCCAGGGAAAAGGGGTGCCAGGGAGTGAAACTAGAGCTGGTCCTGTCCCAGCACCGCAGCTACCTAGCTGTCATGGCAGAAATGATGCCACTGGCCAAAAATTTAACTTTTAGCCGATTTTTTAAACTGTCAGTGTCTCATCCCTGATTTTAGTTTTTGTCTTTCTCATGCCTCATTTCTTAGTGATTCAGCCTTTTGAAATTGTCTTCAGCATGCAGATATTCTAGCATTCAGATTGGGGTGAGAATTACATTTTCCTTCATCCAATTGTAAATACCTGTAGTACACGTCTCACTGTCTGAGGTGGATGTCTACAGCATTTCTGTGCTGGGGGAAGAAAACTGGGTATTTTTAAGGTCTGGTTCACCCCACCAGTTTGAGATGCCTGCTTTTGTGCTGGATGAATTGTGGCCTGGAAGTGGCAGTCTCTCTCCACGCCTGGCAGCAGCCAGGGTGCCTGCTTCAGCACTTGGCATCTCTGCATTGCAGCTCCCTGTCTGTGGCTGGGAGAGCAGCACTCTCCCTCCACTCCCTGCTGGCATCCAGCCACAGCACTTTGCTTGTTGCCTGCAGCTACATAGGTACTGCTTTCAAAAACACCTTTTAGGAGAAATTCTGAATTCGAAGTCAGCTTGGGAAGTCAACATCGAGGAGAATAATTTTCAACAAGTAACTCTTTGGGGACAGCTGTGGGGCAGCTACAGGGACAGCCAGGGCTTTAAAGTTGGAGTTATTAAAGCAGGCATTTCCCCAGCAGCAGTAACCACCCTGATGCTGATTTCTGTTGTACTGGCCCTGCCTGGGAAGCACAGCATGAACGAGCTCAGGGAGCTGCACTGGATTCGAGCTATTTCTGCAGTCTGGGTGCCCAAGCAGCCGTGGCAGCCCAGCAGCACTGAGAGAAGGGAGGGGAAACAGCAAAGCCAGCCTCTGCAGCAGCATCAGGAGGGCTCCCAGAGGCACTGGGGTGTGAGGGGTGCACTGCAGAGATATTTCCAATTAAGGACAAGGGCAGGTACAAAGGGAAGGACAAGAGCCTTTCAGGTAGATCATGACCCAGTTTTGGATGCGAGAGCTCCACAGAGCCCCTGCTGGGACTTCCCCAAGAACATGAGTAAATGATCTGATCTCCCAGCACTTCAGATCCTTCCTCCAAATCAACCAGCATTTTTTTTGGTCCTTTGGACTGGGGATGTCTGAAGAATGATAGTTTCCAACAGCCAAGAGTTCAAGGTGACTCTGCTACCCACTTCTCGCTTCACAGTTCAGAACTTTCAGGGACTGGGAGAAGAAAGAAACGTATTCTTGATTACCTGAGCTACATTTTTGTAGGAATTGAGGCTAAAAAAGCAAAAATTCTTTAAAAATGTATTTTAAACAAAATCAGAAATGCCAACCCCACCCTCTCATAGACTTCTGGTGAGTGGACCAGCAGTCCATGACATCTGCTACAGCCTTCAGACTACACCCAGAAAAGCAGTTGTACAGAATTTTTTGTATGCGGCCAAAATCCACACCCAGCTGCTGCTGAACACTGAAAACACCTAGGGGAAGGTTGGGTTCCTCCCTGTTCATTCCTATAAAACCCCAAATTGCCAGTAAATCAGGTTAGGTGCCTGCCCAGAGCTGCCACAGGTTGATCACATGAGGAGCTGGCTCTTGCCCAAGCGTAGTGGGGCTGCAGAAGCCTGGTGCTCCTGCATGCATCCTTTGGGACATAGATGCTGTCAGCACATGCCCAAAACACGTCTGGATCAGGTCCCACAGTCTACTTGCCCTTCCCCATTTGTTTCAAAACCAGTCACCACCTGGCTGATGAGTGCAGACTCACTAAGGCTGTGGTGCCTATAGGAGATTTCCATGCCCCAGCTCCAGAAAAGCCATGAAGTTACTGGGCATTCTGGGGAGAACACCTCCCTGATCATTACTGGTGAAGTTTCTCTACTGTTGCAGTCAGGAATAGAGGCTACTTTGGGACCAAGGAGGAAGGAGCTAGAGAAGGATGCATAACCTCATGACCTTTTACAGAGTAGAGGGAAAGCCTAGAAGCTGAGCTGTGTCCTGCATCAGGACATCAGCTGGAATTCAGAGCATGGAAAGACCAGACTGCTCTTCCTTTGCATACCGTAGCAGCAAGTTGAAAAAATCATGAATGCAACTGCTGTCACCCCTCTTTGCACTTACTCTGACACTCCACAAGGCCAGGGAGAAAGGCTGGGGATCATCCCACCTAAGCTTTGGCAGCCAAGATGCCTCAGAGAGGTGTACAGCAAAGACACAGCTGCATCTGGAAGCAGAATCAGACACTGGGGGGAATATATGACTTGTGGAGATGACTTTCTCACCCAGCACTGAAGAGACCTGGGGACAGCTGTGCCCCAGCTTTGGCAGCTCAGCCCTAGGGGCAGGGGTGGCTGCAGGAATGCCACCATCTTTGCCCTGGAGTGCCTTACATGTCATCCTACTTCTCTCTCCAGGCAACTCTCAGAGGAGAATGCAAATCTTCAAGAATACGTTGAGAAAGAAGTGGAGGAGAAGAAGAAGCTCAGCAGGACTAACGAGGAGCTGCTCTGGAAGCTGCAGGAGGGAGATGCCGTGAGCCCCGTCAAACTCCCGCCCGCAGCATCCACTCCTTTTTATCGCTGCTCATCAGGGAACTCCTCTCCAGCAAAAGTCAGAACCTTGAGGCGATGAATCAGCAGCTGTGTGCCCAAGGTTCCCTGCCTTTTATGCATTTCCAGTCTGCAAATTGTTACCATCCAAGGAAGTACTACCATCAACAGGCGCCCAGGGTTCATGGCTGCATGTTCAGTAGCTGCACAGCTTTACACTAGGCAGGGTACTCTTACAGTCCCCATACAGAAATCCTTGGTTCTGACATGTTGATTAGGGTAGCAAAAAAGATAGCAAAGACCTAGAAGAGCAGAAAGTTAGGATAGCAAAAGGTTTAGTTTGATGTGTGAACGTTTTAACTATGGTTAGAGCCAAAAGTTGGGAAATGCTCTATTAATGGTTCATCAGAATGAACTTTTGCTGCAGTATTTCAGGTTAGTTGCAAATTGTGTGAATATTTCTGTATATGTGTCTGTGTTTATATACATGTATGTATTGTACCTTTATACCTATATATAGACGCACACACATATATATGTAGTTGCAGATGTTCTGAATTACATTTTTTATATTATTGGATACTACTAAGTGCTGATATATTTTCATTACAGTCAGCAGTTTTCTAACTCGTGCCTAAGACTTGTATTTAAACAAAATGCATTTCTGTTTAGCCTCCCAGGAATATTTATACCCAACCTAGAAGAAAGTTACACAGAAGTAGAAGCGCCTTCCAAGTGACCACCAAGTGGTACTCTGTTACATGAACACCAGCGAATTTGAAATTCTAAGACAGTACTGCCTTCAAAACCATCATCTTTGCATTGAACACCAGAAAAGATATGCATACCATCCACTGCTTTTTAACTCTTAGCATTGATATTGTAAGTGGAGATAGGCTAGAGATGAGAAAACTGAGAGTTTTAGCAAATTTGGTAGAGGTTACTGGTTAACATGGTTCAATTTTAGTGTCTTTATTTCAATCCCAGTCAGATCTTATCTTGTTTTACCTTGTTGTGGTTAGGATGCAAGCGAAATCTCTGGCTGTAGATTTCTGTCCATTTTGTTTTATTTCAAGCCCCAGAAGCAAGAAGGAGAAAATAATTTGCTTATCCTTGACATTTGCTGGATGAGAGGTTTCCAATAGTAAGATGAGATACTGGGCATCTGCTAGGGCTCTAGCTTCCTTCCACCTCAAATGCCAAATAGAGCATAGCCAACTTCATAGGTGCAGATGAAGCCAGAATTTTGTTCCTCCCACATATCTGCATTATTTCACATTGCTACAGCTTACCCAGAGTTACAGAGCACTTTGAAGATTATGCAAATGAGTGGCTAAACTACCTTTAACTTTCCCATCTAGAAGCAAAAATGTTCACCCAGGCTTGGGGTGATCTCCCACCTGAGGGGATGGTGAGACCAAGGAGTAGTTGGGGTGAGACTCTCTGCAGGGCCCTCATGGGCATTGCTAACAAGATAAAAATATCCCTGAGCATAATTCAAAAAACAAAGAGATCTGTGGGATGCTTTTCTACCCAGCTTAGGGCAAAGAGCCTGCCTGCAGGCCTGCTCTGTGCACTGGGGCCAAAGTTAGCAGGGCGACAGTACCTGGAGGAAATCCCTGAGGTGCAGGCGTGCTGCAGGGAGGGTGGCATTGCACAGCCCTGCCATCCTGCTCGAGTGGGAGCTGTGCTTCAGCTTTCCTGGGAAATACTCAAGATTCACAGACTGCAGCTTAGATACAGCTTCAACCACCATCAAAGCACCTGTGGCCTGTTCCACAGTGTTAAAAAGAAAGATGATTTTTTTTTTCTCCTTTTTAGAGAAATTTATTTTTGTAGCAGCTTTTGCATGGTGCTGTGATACTGAGTAAATTGAGCATCTTCTTAGAATAGATCATGCCACACCAGCTACTACTGTTGAAATGCATTGCTAGATTTTAGTGTGTCCAGCAAGTACAACCTGAAAGATAGACAAATAGCACACACATGCACACAAAGCCCCTTCTTGCCATGTATGACTTTAATAATTTTGACACTTGGTAACTGCACAGCTGTTTGCAACACCTACAGCACTGTCATCTTCCATTCCACCAACAGAATTCTGAGACAGTGAGATCACAGACTCAGAGGGTGATTTGGGTTACAAGGGAACTTTAAGACTGTCTAGTCCAGCCCCCACTGCCGCGAGCAGGGACACTTTCCACTAGACCAGGTTGCTCAGAGCTTCATCCAGCCTGGCCTAGAACACTTCCAGGAATGGGGTATCCACAACTTCTCTGGGCAACCTATTCCAGTTTCCTACCACTCTCATTGTAAAAATTCTTTTCCTTATGTCCAATCTAAATCTATCCTCTTCCAGTTTAAAACTGTTGTCCCTTGTCCTATCTCTACAGGCCCCGGTAAAAAGTCTCTCTCCATTTTTCTTATAGGCCCCCTTGAGGTTCTGGAAGGCTGCTAAAAGATCTCCCCTGAGTCTTCTCCAGGCTGAACAACTCCAAGTGTCTTGGCCTGTTTCCATAGAAGAGGTGCTCCAGCCCTCTAAGATCTTTGTGGCACTCCTCTAGACCCACTCCAAGAAGTCCATGTCCTTCTTATCCCCAGAGCTGGATGCAGCACTCCAGGCTGGGTCTCACAAGAGCAGACTAGGAGGGCAGAATGCCCCCCTTGCCCTGCTGGCCACGCTGCTTTGGATGCAGCCCAGGATATAAGTGACTTTCTGGGCTTTGAGCACCCAATGTTGGTTCATGTCCAGCTTCTCATCCAGCAGTATTCCCAAGTCCTTCTCAGCAGTGCTGTTTTCAATCCCTTTATCCCCCAGCCTGTATTCACACCAAGGGTTGCCCTGACCTAGGTGCAGGACCTTGCACTTGGTGTTACTGAACCTCATGATGTTCACATGGCCCCACCTCTCAAGCACGTCCAGATCCCCCTGGATGGCATCCCCTCCTTCCAGTGCACCAACTCACCTTGGTGTCAACCCACAGACTTGCTGTGGATGCACCTGATCCCGCTGTCTGCATAATTTAAGCTATTACACAGTAATATCTTACATATCGGTCCCAATACTGACCCCTGAGGGGCACCACTTCTTACTGAAGTATCTCCCCAATTTAGGATGCTGTGTGGGACTATGTCAAAGGCCCTGCAGAGTCCAGGTAAATGACATCAGCTGCTCATCCCTCACTCACCAACACAGTCACACCATTGCAGAGGGCCATCAGATTAGTCAGAGTGGCTTGTTGGTAGTTTCTAGGATTCTCCTTTTTCCCTTTGTAAAAATGGTTGAGATGATACAACTGGAGTTGTTATCTTGATGCTACTCAAAACTTTAAATGCACTAAAGCATAGTATTGGCCCAGGACAGGATGGCTGAACCTGTTGTAATTTATTAATCTTTCCCCTTTATATCTGGTGCTTTCCTTATCACTTTGTTGGTTTAAAATCATATTCAAGAGATGCTTCCAGCAGTGAATTGGGAGTAGGGCTTTTACGGTGGGAAAACTGGGACTGAGCCTAGCTCCATCATCATTTGTTATCATTGCCAATCCCTTTCCCATCTAATTTTGCCTCCCAATCCTGCCTCTCACTGGATTCTTCTTGGCACACCCTCTGGGGCCTGCCCAATCACTAGCAAAACTGCAGGAAGTTCTGCCTAACCAGAAGGACCCAGCAACCTGTCCCCGTGGGGGGTGTGAAGAGTGGCTCTTTCTGGTGCAAACCCAGAAACAGACTTTTTTCCCCCAAAAAAAGGTTATTCCTTTTTTATACTTATCCTCTGTCCTATCTTTCTTTGCCTCTGCATGCTGAAGTAGGTGCAAAAGAATAGCCCAGGTCACTCGCACAGTGGGAGGAAGGGAGCAGCCCCTGAATGGGGCAGCCATTCCCAGGGAATGGAGATCCCTGGATGCAGGGCCAAGCTGGGAAGGGGAAGTGTTTGCTTTTGCAGGGCTGGAAACTTCCCAAATGCCATGGCCACTGTTGGGACTTTCCCATTTGAAATAGGATGGCCTTTGGCAGCAGAGGGAATGTAGCTAGCACTAAGCAGAAAGAATTTCATCATCTCTGTCTTTAAGGAAGCTGTTTGGTTTCGTTAATCTTTACTCAATGCAGAAGGGTGTAGCAGCAATAAAACCAGCTACAGCTGCTCCCAGGGGGTTCCAGAGATGGGCACTGGGAGCAGATGTATCAGCCATGGGATGGCAGGAGAGCCAGCAGCGAGCAGGGCATGGGAAATTCCTTTTCATTGTGGGAAGGTACCATTTGTCCCTACTGGGATTGCACCTCCAGTGACTGCTGGCACAGATGGGTTGACTCACTTGATGCACAGCAGCAAAGGCTTGTGGTGGTGGCAGGCGGGGGGAGAAAAGGAAAAACTATCAAGTGCAAAATCAGGTATTTTGTCTCTGCACTGATGGTGGTTGTGTCCCATGGACACTCTGAGGAGCCTCTGTACAGTTTCCCATGCAGCAGGAGTTCTGTGGTCCGGTTTATTATGTGGCTAATGATTACAGGAAGAGTTTGTATTATTTCAATTATGATGTACAGATAAGTGTAATATATTCCTGATAATAAATCCGTGCGCCAGTGCACCTGTGGGCTGACGGATACAAACCAGCATGTCCTGCCGTGTTTTCTGTGCACACAGAAACTGGGATGAATGGGAAACAAAGCAAAGCCCATTAGAGGGTTACCCCATTAAGGTAAAGACAGAAGCTAGTCATTAGCTTCCTGGCAGCAGGGCTGGTCAGCTGCCTTACCTGACAGTGGCTCAAATGCTATGAGTTTCCATGGACTCATTTTCTAGGATAATTCCAATATGACTGCAGCTGCCAGAACAGTGATTGTCATCTGCAATGTTTCCATAAAAGGGTTATGCTGCAGCACGTGGTAACAGGAACACTTCTGTCAGTGGTTCAGGCTCATCAGCAAACACCTGAACTCCCCAGTGCTCCAGTTCACTCAGTTTCAACACCCCAACTCCTGCCCCCTTCAGCCTGCCCTCCTGCTGAGAGCCACAGAGCTGCTCAGGCTTTGCCACAAGGATTAAAAAGGGACTGGGTCATACCCTACCTCGGGAACGTGCCTGACAACATCCTCCTGAAAGATTTTTCACCAGGCCCTTGGCTTGCTCAGCACAGATGAAGCTTTGGTAAGGACATAAGCTTCATGTTTTCACTGAACAGAAGCTGGTAGCCAGGTAGGAAAAACATCCTTATATTTTTAGTACAATACAAAACTTTGATCCTGTCTGAATTTTCATCTTGTTGCCCTCCCACATTTTCAGTGCCTTTTGGGAGGCTGTGGAGTGCGTTGAGCTTGCCTGTGTTTAAACAAAATAGACTTTGACTTAGTGGCTTTTAATTTCTGTATCAATCCCTCCCTGCTTGAGTAAGACTTTGTGTATGCACAAAGAGCGAAGACTTGGCAGATGGTCAAGACCCAGTGACTGGAGCAGACCCCCAGCTTCATTCTGTGGGGGAAGCTGCACTCATAACACACCCTGAAGTGCAGCTAGGAGGCAGTGAACACATTGCCTTCACTTCCTCAAATTGCAATCCTGTCAAGAAAAGCCTCCCAGTGTACTAGAATTAAAAGATGAAAACACTTCAATGGGCAGAAAGGCTATCAAGTCTCTTGGAGACATGAGAAATGGTCCACAATCCAGCCATGAAATCCAGGAGATGGTCTGATTCCCTTTTCTGCTGCATCAGATGCCTGGTGAGATCCTGGGCAAGCCTTGCAGGGGTCTGTTCAGTTCTCCAACTCAATGACAGGCGCAAGAGCCTGTCGCTTCATCAGCAAGAGCCATGCTGACAAACCAGTTAAAGATTGTCCAGTGTTCAGAGACAGTAGTATGAAGGACACCTAGGAAAGCACCTACTCACATCGGGAAAGGGGATTCCTGCAGTATTTATCTGGGATGCTCCAACCCAGAAGTGTTTGAGAGCAGGCTGGACAGGGTTTTGAGCAACCTGATCTAATTAAAGATGTCCCTGCTGATGTCAGGTAAGCTGGACCAGATGATCTTCAACGGTCCCTTTCCAACCCAAACTGTTCCACAATTCTATGATTTGTTTTTCAGTACAGGCTGAAGCGTAAATTTAGATCAGTGGCATTACTTGGGCATGGCTCACCTTCACGGTGCTTTAATAAGCCTTTTTAGGGTAGTGGATTAATTTGGCTAGGGAAAGCTATTAGAGAGAATTAAAACAAAAAAAAAATCTTCTTACAGCCAAAACCAAGGCATTGCTAATCAAATACAGACCCTCAACTCCAGATTTCCCACCTTTCACTACCACAGGCTCTGGAGATGATCTCCAGCCCCAAAGGGAAAGCTCCCCTCAGCAAGTCAGACCCTAGAGCTTGATGGTGTTTTCTGGGCTGCACACTCTGATAGGACTGAAAAGTCCCTGCACACCCCCACAGCCTCCCCCGGGCAGGTGGCTGACACCAGGCATTGCTCATGTAAGAACTTCATGCCTCTGAGGATTCTCCAGTGCTTCCCCTCCCAGGGCAGGAATGTGCTCCACTCACCAGTGCCAAACCAAAGCTGCTAATGCCAGGCAGCAAGCACGGAAGACTGGTGCAGGGGGAGGAACATAGGGCTGCACTCGCTGTCAGAGCTAGCTCAGTTCTGCTGGCCACCCACACCACTACAGCAACACCACTGGTGATTTCTGAGGCAAAGAGGCAGGACTGCTCTTTGGAGACACCCATTGTTTTCAAGCCTTTGCAGTACTTGCACGACATGGTTTCCTGACTAAAGCTGGCAGTTTCTCTGTGGAGTGTACAGTCAGGAGAAACACCTGCTGGTGTTACTGTGAGCTGGTGAGCGATCGCTCACCTGACAAGCAGCAACCATAAACCTTCCCAACATTTCACAGCAGTGACATGCTTTAAAGCATGTGAGCACGTAGCTAAAAAACCCAGTTAAATAAAAACAAAAAAGGTAAGACCTGATATTTTAAAGAACGCAAATCTTGCAGTGCTTTGTTAACCTGGGGAAATCTAGGGATTGGTGAGAACCTTTTTTTTTTTGTATGTGTGCATACACAGAGGGTACAGCTCACATAGGGTGAAGGATGGATACTGGTCTATGCCTGACAGTAGCACTGCAAAACCTGCTCCATGTAAAATTTAGTAGAGTATCTGTTGGGAGGTAATTCCCGGGGCTACTGAAAGAAGGACATTTGTGAGGCCTGGTTTCGTAGCAGCAGTTGCACACAGAAGCAGTTCTCTTTCTACACACTGGGGAAAAAAAACAAAACCGGAGAGGGAGAGAGGGAAGCACCCCAGATGAGCTGCCAGTGCTGCTGGGAATATGCCAGAGTTGTGTCTTTTCATCTTGTGGTCCCTTTTAACTGTGCTGCTAAACAAACTGCAAGCTGCAGTAACCAAGTTGGGGAGGCCTGCATTCTGCTTCCTTATTTCTGCATAACTGATTACAGGTGTAATCTGGTTCAGGATCCCCACCACAAAGTTTTTTTCACTGCAGCCATTCTTTCAGTCGCCTTAAGTCAAACACAGTCATTTACAGCTGTCTGAGCCAGTGTCTGTGTTTCTCTCCGCTTCTGCTGAGGCTGCGTAGCTGGCTTCCACACTGTGCCATATTCCATAGGTAAAGTAGATGATAAAGCCTGTGGAAGCCAAGGGAGAGGGCACTGTTAGCTCTGTAAAGAAACAGAAACCTCTACTCACAGCCACTAACACAAGTTACACCAGTCTAAGTCAAGCCATCCTCATGGCTAGCTTCTAGCAGACAGACACTATCTTCTTTAGGGGAAAAAAGCCATTAACACAGGCAGCAGTCTTTAAAAGTCAATCTATCCCAGCCCCAAATGGGATCCTGATTTGAGCATTTCAGACAATTCAGCCTTATCTACGTGGCTGCTGGGAGCATCTTGGGATGCAGCTCAGCTTCTTCAGCTCCAGAAACACAAGCTCCACCACTTGGACAGCAGTGCAAGGCCAGCCAACAAGGAAAGCTCTGTGGTTTCTGCTGGCAACAAGACCCATAAGATGGTTCACGGGTTGTTGTTTTGTCCACACAAAGGCTTCAAGACCCTTGAATTTGAAACAAAGCTTGTTACAGGCTGACTAAAGGGCTTCAGTCAAGTCACCAGGGTTGCCCAAGGATGACCAGAGTGTAGAATCCCTCCCTGGAGTGCTATAATAAATGTATGGTGAACAAAATCTATAACTTTGCACATAGCATTTTTCACTTAAACTCACCTAGGAGCATCCAGATTGCAAACCGAATCCACGTGCCTGCGTCTAGCTGCATCATGAGGTAAACATTCACAAAAATACTCCCAACAGGAAGAAAGGGCAAAAAAGGTACCTGAGAAAGAACAAGGGATATGTTACATCTACAAGCACAGTTAATGAGCAGAAACGAACATCACATCCCTTGTAAATGGGAAGGGATGGCTATTACAAACTCTTCAGCTGCCAGATGTGAACAATGCTGTTCACCTGTTTTAAAAGCTTGTTTTGTGGTCTAGAAGGAGGCAAGAGGCAAATTTTAGTGGCAATACTAAATATTTGTGGGGCAAAGGAGAGAAGAGTAAAAACCAAGGACTGTATCATGACATGCACCTATTGAAGACCAAGAGAAGAAGGTAAGGGGAATGTCAGAGGAGGGACCTGAGGAACTTCACCCATCAGATACCAAAGCAATGAAGCAATAGAGAGCAAATTATCCCAAAGCAAGGAAAACCAGCAAATACTGCAAGAGGTGACTATAGCGGTACCAAGAATGACTTAGTGGTGTGAGAATCAAAGAAGAATGAGACAGCAAAGCCAAAATGCAAAAATAAGAATACAGAAAATAGCACTGCAAATATAAAATCAAACAAGGCAGATTATAATACTAGAAAAGCTTCTGAATATGGTGGAATTAAGTGGAAAGTGAACTTCACTCCTAAGGGAAAAAGGAGATCTACAAAAACAAACAGGCAGAAATGTGGGCCTTTCTTAATTTAAGCTTTGCCAAAAAAAATTTATGTAAAGTAGCTGCTCACATCATTAGAGAGAGGGGATAGGCACACAAATTGGAAAAGAGAAGAAGAATATTTTTCTGAAGTTGGCTTTGTCAAGTCAGTAGAGACAAATAAAATTTCCCTAGGTGGGTGAGTTATGTACCCAGAGATTGCAGAAGTGATCTCTAAACTATTAAATAAGCAACTCTGAGAGCCTTTAGTAGACGGGTGAAGTCTCTGAAGACTGGGGAAGGGTAAAAAATAACATGTTAAAAATACAGTAAAACAACTGGGAAACAAACAGGTCAGCCTTGGACTTCCAGAGTGATTTTGGAGAAAAATCACCATCAGGTTGTAAATGCCCAAAGAACAGTAAAGAGATAAGAAACAAGGTTGTCAAGCACTGGAAAAGGCTACCCAGGGAAGTGGTGCAATCATCATACCTGGAGGTGTTTAAAGGACATGTAGATGTGGCACTGAGGGACATGGTTTAGAGGTGGATTTGGCAGCCCTGAGCTAATGGTTGGACTTGATGATCTTAAAGGTCTTTTCCAACCAAAATGATTCTATGATTTTATTATTACAGATTTAGCTGTGACAGGTATAATTTTTTTTTTCTTTGACAGGACAGTGGTTGAGGGGATAAAAAAAAAGAGGTGAGATATCCTGAGCAAAAGGTGAATAGACCTCCTCAGAAGTATGTTCAGAAAATACAATCTAGTGAGAATGCGTAAGTTTTTTACTCCTGGACATTTCTGTTTCCACCTTTGGGACCATTACCCCAAAATGAGCTGCAAACACAACCTTGGAAAACTGGCTGTATTAAGTTACTAAAATCTGTGAATTTACTGAAAATTTTTAATTGAAGAGCAATCCAAATGAAAGCAGTTTAGAGGATGCAATTATAACCCAAAATCAATTTAATAAATTGCGGAGCTACCTGAAATCAATATGACAAAGCATGGCTTTGTAGGATTATGCTGGGAGAAAAACCCCATCCCAGTGTTTCTTTAATATAGAAAGGATGGTGTGCTTGGAGAGGGCAGGAAAACTACAGAGTTCCTCATACTTAAGGTTGTTTAAGAGAGAATGGTCATCCCTTAGCCTTTATGGGGACTAAGGAGGACATGAAAGTGCACTTAGAGCCTCAGATCTTTGCAAACAAGTTTACTTCTTGTGCTCTTTCTCCTTCTGTATCCATAATCTGATGTGGCCCTTCACAACCATCCCCTTTCCTCCAGTGTCTGTCTGTTCCCTATCCTATAACCATGTGGTTTCAAAAGCAGGGTCCTGCCCTTCCCTTCCAGCCACACCACTGCAGCAGGTTCTGCCTTTCCAGCTTCTCCTGGATAGCAAAGCTGACATCATGCTTATAGTCTATGCATGTCCATTTGGCCAGTGTCCCCCTTCTGATACAACACATGCACTTCCTCCTCCAACCACCTCCCAGACACCTCTTTTCTAGCTACATGTCCCAGGACACTCACCTTAAAGGAGAGTTTGGTTTTGCTTTCAGGCTGTTTCCGTATAATGAAGATAATAGTGACAACAAGGATGGCCGCAATAATCTGTACAGTGTTTATCAGAATGTTTGGCTCAAGGGAAGTCAGGATACAGATACCCACAATAAGGAAACCTGTGAACAGACACCAAAGGTTACTGATTTTTATTTTTTTTTTAGGTATAGGGAAAACTCAAGAACAAATCATAAGCAGGCAAAGCAGAATCTGAAAGCTCACAAACAAAACAGCGACTCACAAAAACCCTAACCATAACAGAAATGCCTTTCCCACTATACACCCCCATACACTCCATCTGTGGATTTCTTTTTAAGTCAGAAATTTAATCTTCAGTTATTCTGGCCATTACAAAAGCTCATCAAAATCACATCAAGGAGATGAGTTTTCCCACCATGGTGAGTACAAAGCCCTACCAGCTGACTCAATGCCCCAGAGACACACTGCCCAGCACTTACCTAAGATGAAGGTTGAGACGTTCACCACCAAACCAGAGAATTTGGAAGGATCTGAATCTGTGGAACACAGTATGGCTTTGAGGGAAAACTTCTCCTCTTCCTCTGGCAGAAACCCAGCCTGTGACTCACTGGTGCTCACAGACTCGTTGTTATCTGTCTCCTCTGTCGACCTTGCCATCTGGTACGCCAAATTAGGCTGCTCTGGCTGGTACCTAGGGAAAGGAAATGACAAAGAGCCTGTTAGTTTGGCTTTTAAATAAAGGTACCACTCGTTTAAAAGCCACACAGATAGTAATGGCTACATGCCAGACCTTTACAGCACCAGAACAGGCCCACGTCATGTCTATACCCTTCTGCTTGAAGGGGAAATTTGAGGAATGATGTCATCATGATGTAAGCAAGTATGGCCAGCTCTTATCACCTACAGCGTGGTTGTAACGTAAGTGTTCTAAAGCAGACAGTGCTCCCTTTCCCGAGCCCTGATATCCATGTCACCAAGACATGACCCGGTGACGGGAGAAGCAAACAGCAGAGGGACAGACCAATGGTCATAACCAGGCCATTGTGTCATCTGTGGCAGTTCAGCTCTTGCATTTTGGCACGGAGGTGGCTGAGCTAACAGCTCTGCAGCTATCACACCCTGCAGCAGCATTTCTGGTGCTCCATACCCCTCCACCCCAGGCTCTTCTGCCAGCTTATCTGCTGCCACACAAGGAAGGAAGAGCTGAAGCAAGAATGGTTGTTGCAAGTGTGGACAGCATATTCAACAGGGCTGTGACACACAACCATGTGGAACCATAAATAAAAACTCTTCCAGCCTCAGCTCTCTGTTACAGAAGGTTTTGTCAAGTTACTCAGCCACAAGTCTGACTAAAGGACTGGGCCACAATGAAGGTCACCTTAAAACTGTTCCTGTGGGGATGTGTTCACAATGAGGCCTTTGTCAAACACTGAGAATTGTGAAATGCAGTGAAATCCTTGGGCCTAGCCACAGCAAGAAACTAGTGGCAGGATCTTACAGCTTTGGAAACAATTCAGCTGCTACATCATTAAGCAGTCAAGAGGCAGACAAATCCACTGCCAAGGTCACTACAAAACAGGCTGTCACCTCTGCCAACCCATGATGGGGGAAATGTCATGCAATAGGTACAGCAGCTTGCAAAAACAAATTAAAAAGCTATTTCTAGCTCTGAGGAAAAGAGTAGGCTGGGAAATCAGGAAACTTAAGACAGATAAGGCAAATTGGTAAGAATTTTCAAGGGGCAGGGAGCAGAGCACAAACACAAAGCAATGGTACCACAGAACAGCACAGGCCCTTCACCTGCTTCAAGACTGTTCTTAGTTCAGTGTAATTGCTGTGAAAGCCTCCATCTGATTCTGAGTAAGTCATTCAACACACAATGGTACTTTTCAGTAACATGATCTTCAGATATTTTTTTCATTAATTGAGTGCTGTTGTCTGGAAGGTGCCAAGCACTGAATATTTTTAGCTTAGGTTTAGGAAGCTATGGGAGCTCAGCACTTCTAAAAGACACACTGATCCTCCAAACACATGCTCAGTTCTTTCCTGCTATTAGACTTCATCTCAAATCCCCTTTCAAAAGGAGGACAACCTGAAATGGTATCCCCACTGGGGACAAGAGTGGGGACAAGACAGGCATCCAGGATCACACATCTTTCCTCCCTACCCCTTTGCATATCTCCTGGGGCATTTAGAGTTCACCACAGCAGGACTGGCACGGAACAAGGGTTAACCAAGTTCAGAGGACCTCCCTGTAGATCCAACTAACACAGTCCCCCATGAAATTAAAGAAACAAGCTCTTCACATGCCTGTAGCTGGAGATGTGCCCATAGAAACTATGAGGACATCTGACAGCTGTGTGGAATTCTCTCTGTGTGCCAGAAGAGACAAAGCTTCTACATTCTTACCTCAGTACCAACACACAGGCTGCTACCAAGGAGTAAGCCAGGAGGGTCCCGATGGACATGAGGTCCACAAGATCTTTCAAGTCAAAGAGAAAGGCCATAACAGCTGTAGGAGGAGAGGAAGGTAAGAGAGAAGAAAAATCAGCAACATGGCAGAACATGCACATCTCAGCAGCGTTAATATCGATGCAGCACACATGTGACTCTTCCTCAGGACTTGGAAGGGGAGCTTAAGATGTACCAAGAGAAGGAGAGGCAGGCCCTGGTGCATGAATACCCTAAGACTCCACAGGCTGTCCCAGCCTCAGTAGCTGAAACAATAGGAAATGCTTACTACAGTGAATTCCAGCCTGTTTGTCTCACACAGTTATGTTCACCCAACTACCAAAAAAAAGCACGGGTTTAAGCCACAGCCCCATTTTAGTCCCCCAGTGCAGCTGCAGCACTCCTAAAATCACAATTATCTCCTGGAAGTAGCTAGAGGCAACAGAGGATGGGCAGCACCTTGCCCTGGTGTCTCAGCTCAGCTGGGCTGCAATCAGGCTTGTGCATGCAATGGGACCAAGCATCAAAGAGGGCATCTTGAAGCAGCAGGTGTCATCACGGGGATTTCCAGAAAAAGGCTGCCATTCCTTAGGGATTACCCTGCTTACACACCCTCACCAGGTAACCCTGGTTGTATAGGAATTTGTATAGAGCTTTCAGAAGACAAAGTGGATAAAAGACACACAGTCAGACATCAGGTGGCACCAACAGCCATATGAAGTGTAGGGACCTCAGAGCCAACCCGGCCCCGCTCAGCCTTAATGCACAACCTGGAGCCCAATAACCAGCCCAACCTTCAAACTCAGCTGGCAAATGCTGTCCCTGCAGTGTTGTGTGGGTTTTGGTCATAGGCACTATGAACCACTTGGATGAGACTACAAAGCTGTTGTTTGTTTTTTTTTTTATATTGCTCTTGCTCCTACCCCACCATGGTCTGGACCCAAGAATACCTGAAGAGGAAGGTGTGGGAGAAGGAGGCTGTGAGGAGGCTCTGCAAGTCCAAGCAGCAGGAGCTGAGCCCTTTCACAGGAGCTCAGAGCCCAGGGCAGCAGTCTGGCAGCAACTCCCCACCAAAGGTGGCACGTTCTTGTACCCACGGCTCATCCTGCATTTGCAGCAGAAGGTAAAGAGGAAGCAGCAAGGCCACTCTCCTCTTTGCCAGGCATCGTGAGGAAGGGGGTGGCTGCAAGAACACGGTAAGCTGCTCATCCTTGCTGTCCGGGAGGTTTAATTCCCATATTTCTGGCAGGCCAGGAGAAGGGGAGAACAGGATGGCTGCCAGCTGTGACTAACTGATTAACAAATGCCAGTGCCACAGGGGCCATCTGCTCGTCTCTGGCGGCTCTGGTGTCTTCTGCAGAGCTGCTACCCACAGGTGGTGCAGTGTCTACAGGCCAACAGCCACGAGGATGCTGGGGCACCACTGGCTGCTGCCTTGCAGGGCGTTAATTACTTTCAAGGCTGGCTGAGCAGATAAAGGTAGCTCCTGGCATGAGACAGGATCGCAAGCAATGAGCTCTGAGAAAGAGGGACAAGCACACAGCGAGCTGCTCATGCTCACCCAGACTCTTCAGGGCATGCCCTGGAAATCCAGGACACCCTCTGGGATGCCATATTCTGCAGTATATCCAATTAGTAAGTGGGCTAGAGTCAGGCGGACTTATCTGCCCTGAAAATGAGCTTATGTCTCCTTTCCACATATCTTTGCAAGTCTTTGGATCTTACCTGCAGTAGCTCCTGAGGTCACTGTTGCAATTAAGGGAGTTTTTCTCTTCTCGTTGACTTTAGCCAAAAATTTAAAAAGAAGTCCATCTTCTGCCATAGCATAAATTATTCGAGGCATTGGAAACATGGAGCCAAGGAGACTACAGAGGAAGGAGAAATTAATAATCTGCTTATATCATCTCCTGCTGAGCACAGGCACGTAAGTGAAAGCAAGTTATGGCAGTGTAACTATAGAACAGGTGGGTTTCATTCACTTCAGCTTCTCCTTCAAGGGCTCCCTCTGAACACCCATGTTACTGAGAGCTGGTAACTGAGGTGCACCTATATGATTCTGGATAGCTAAACTTAGCCATGGGACATAAAACCAGCCTGACTTTCAGGCAGTAAAAGAGCTGTAACTTCTATGAGCCTCTGTGAGTTGCTCACCTAATTGAGTATGTCTAAGTTGATCTGAAATAAGCCTTCCAAGTTCTTCCAAGAGGTGACAAGTTCTGCCTCCAGCGTGCCCTGCCTCCCATCCAGATGGCTGTCCTGCAGGTAACCTGCAGACAGATGGCCTTGGATGTGGTAAGCCCCATGTGTTCATGAAGGTGCACCCTGCACCACCTGACACAAGTCTGCTCTCCACCCAGAAGGCCAGGATGTCCTGCACCCAAACCGTTCTTGCACTGCATAGTTGCCTCCATGACTTAGTCACTCAATCCAGATTTATATTCCTGAGATGCACCTGCTGGGTCTTCTGCTAAGATGGGATTTTCTGAAGTGATACTGGTCACCTGCTTCTCTGGTACCTACCACAGGGTGAAATCCTGGTCCTTTTGAGGTCAGTAGCTCTGAATTTCATCCCTGGTCTCCGCTCCATTTCTTAAAGGAGATGGAGGTACATGAGAGATGTACCTTGAGAGATGCAGAAATGAAGAGCAGTGTCTTACCTTGTAGAAAGTGCACACAAGGAACCAACAGCCACTGCATAGTTGGCTCCATCCCAACCCACGTATTTAAAGGCATTTGGTAAAGGGCTATTGGTATCCAGCTGGTAGTAAGGCATCATGAGCGTCAGGGCAGCCGACACGCCAAAATAAGCCACGAAGCAGATGAGAAGAGATGCCACAATGCCAATAGGAATGGCTTTCTGAGGGTTTTTTACCTCCTCACCTAGAAGAAAGAAATTTAAATATCAGCTAAATGACAAGCAAGACCTTTATCCCAACCTAGGGCAGGCATGCTGGCTGGGGCTTTCAAAGGTTTCATGGGTACAGAGGTGCTCTTTCACCACAATGCTGTTGATGGCCTGATCCATCCACTTGGGATATCACAGGCTGTTTGCTCCCATTTCTGCTGCTCCTGTCACTTTTTCTGACACACATTCGCAGAAGCCTTGTAAACGCAGGCACAGAAACAATCTGGATTAAAAACAGTCCTTTCCCCAGAACAGATCATCCTTCTATTCTACTCCTTCTATCCTACTGACGGTGCAGACCCAAGAAGAGTTCAATGATCACAGATGATGGAACAAGAAATTATTGTGCAGTAGTAGGGAAAATCCGTGGATGTCCATTTTAGTAACATCTCCACCAAAACTAATACACCAGAATCATGGCACCACAGGTGCCCATTTCTGGAGAAGGGCAGAGTGTCTGAAAGTCATATGGACCTTTGAAAATGCCTCGTAACAAAAGTTTTTATGGAAAATTTTCAACAACCAAGTAGGAAAAATGTGTGTAAAAAAACCAAAATTCCTCAAAATTCAGGCACTGATCAATTACAGAACAGATTTGAGCTTTCCTAGTCCTACAAAACTGCTCTGAAAGCAAGAGCTCCTAAGGTACAGCATTTAGCAGGATGAACTGATAAACATAGATCCATACACCTACAAGTCAAAAGCAGATGAATGTTTCTCCCGTAAGGAGAGGCTCCAGGGCTGGCTGGAGCAATGGAGCCAACACTTCTCCAACTCCTTGCTTGGAAGAAGACGTAGTAATGCTTTATTTGTCTGTGATGATTCCCTTCTCCCTCTGCTCCAACTGCTCTTGCCAAATGTGAAATTAAGGATAATCCTTTCTTCAGGAAATTAAGATTCATCTTAGCCACAAGAAATATAACTATGCTGATGGCTTCTCTCTCAAAATGAGACCTCTTAACCTTTACAGGTAAAATCTCCTGATTCTGAAGCACAGCTCTAGGGGGCAGTTTACTCCCCAGAGGCTTCCTCTTTCTCTGGATCTTTAAAATATTCCAAGACATCAGAGCTTCTTCAGCTGAACGCACTGAAGAACTCTGTTCCAGAATAACCTGTTGACTGAAGCATCATCTAAAGTTAGAGGCTCAAACTCATACCAGACATGTGAACCTGGGCCTTCCCTGTTTGCCTAGCTGGTAAACCTGGACATGTTTTCTGTGGAGTCTGACCTGGTTGTGTCATCACTGACCATCCACAAGCTTGGGCCCTGCAGGCAAAGAAGGGAGGAAGCTCATGGTTATACAGTTTATCCGTGTGCCACAGCAGCTAGAAGTCAGCACTCAGGCACTCAGGGACTTGAACAAATTCATCACTTTCACTATTAGGAGCAGCTGAGCCAAAAGCCTATTTTTGAGCTGAGGTTCAGAGGGACGACAAATGTGGTGTCCTGAATTCCCTATTATCTGTACTCTGCAATGTTATTGAAAGTCAATCTACTGGCAGCCAGGTTCATAACCAGAATGAAGACATCTTCCCTCTTACCTGTAGTAGCAATACAGTCAAATCCCACAAAAGCATAAAAACACGTGGCTGCCCCTGAGAGGACTCCTTTCCATCCATAGGGCATAAACCCTCCAACACCGTAGAGCTTTTCTTCCTGTGTTTGACTGAAAGGCACGGCACTGGGTTAGAAGTGATCCTGCCTAGCTGGGAGTCACAAAGCTATTCACACAGCTCATAACAAAATCCAAAGCCAAAGTTTGAATAAGCAGGCTCTCCCTTTCATATGCTAGCATGCCAGGCAAAATGCTAAGCCCTACCCACTGCTGAGCTTTGGACTGGCCTGCAACAGCCTGGGGAAGGCATGGAATAAAAATGGTTCATGGTTTGTTCCCACCACCTCTTCGGTGGGGTGGATAAAAATGTCTTGGCTAAGACAAGGAGAAAATAGCATGAATATTAAAAATAATCTCCTAACATTACGGCATGTGTGTAGATACATATATTCATTTGAACAGAAGCTTTTGGAAAAGGTGAAGACTGAGAAACATGTGAACCATCCACTTTTTACTTTAGATGGACTCAGATAAAGGGTAGGTGAGTAGACATAAGAAAGGAATGCACGGTGCCATGATTGTTTAAAATCCACCCCATCTTCAATTATCATCTTTCAAATTCTGTGTGCCAAGCTCATACTCAAACCATGCCTGTAACCATGAGAGAGAAGTGGAGCCTGGATCCCTGACGCACCAACTGCTTTGCTGAGCCTTAACCAAAGTTCATTTAAGTCAACAAACACAGGCTGATCCCAGCACACTTTGGATTGCAACCCCATATCCATGTGCCTTGTGTTGAGTGACATAACAAGCACACCCTACAGTTCAAATTACTTAAGTCACTTTTTCAGTGAAAAGTCTTTGCAAAGATAAATTAAGGCAGTTAAACTAAACTAAATCCCAAATCTGCAAGTCTTCTCACATATAAATATCTGAACTCTCTCACAGAAGCTCTGTTGAGACTTAGATGAAATCTGGCCAACAGAAATAGCACAACCCAGATGTGGATCACTCTGGAAATAATGATGAAATAAACCCCAGACAGATATTACAAAAATAGTAAGTCATGCAGGTCAAAGAGCTGCACTCATACTTTGAAACTCTTGCAGTAATTGCTCCTTGCATGGGAATAGCAGGAGGGAAGGAGAAGGGACCGGTGCTACAGAAGCAATTTGTTTGCAGCAGGTTGAATTTTGAAAAGAGGCTCAAGAAGCGACTTTTACACAAGATAAATTTGACCCACACAACATTTATGAATCTCACCAAATTTTGCCCAACTGTGCTTCCTTGCAGGCCATCATAAAAGGCCTGATATATATGGAGATACTTAAAGGCCCTTATTTTGTATGGTACAGTCTCAAGCAAAAATTAATAGCTTTGTCTTACTGATAAGCCTTCTAAGCTCCTTAATTTTGATCTTGTGTAGGATGACAGAATTTTGGCCAAGCAGCAAAATGTCATTAAAAACAGATTTATGATATGCTTGCAACAATGCATTAAAATAATCTGCAACTTGCCTTCATTTTATTGAGGCATTTGGGACAAGGTCTCTACAAGGTACAACAATGCCAAAAGGATATTGCCCAAGTATTCAAAGAAAGTACACAGCTATACTTGGACATGGCTTCATACAGGCACCAGAGGCAGCCTGGTGTAGACTTGAGTAGATCCTTCAGAACACTGTCTAAAGAGCTCTTTTCTCTCAACTTTGGGTGCTATATTGGTTACAAGGCCAGAAATGGTCAATCCTGCAGCAGGGCTCACAATGACACAGCCTACTCCTAGCACTTGCAGCCCATCAGCACAGCTTGCTTTCAGCAAACATGCACCAAAGACAGCTTTGCCTCCAAAGGATGTGGCAAAGGAGGCAGCCATCCCATTCACAGGTTTTCTAACTCAGCCCACAAACCCCCATTTAAACTTGCTTTTGAAATGCACCAGCTTCTGAGATGAGAAGAAAACATCCAACCTACTTGTCTTTGAAAATGCTATGGCTGGTGTTGTAAATGTCCTGTTCAGTCAGGTACCAGTTTTTAACAGATCCTTTCACAAAGCCGGAGATCACGACAAATCCAAGGACAAGGACGTTGATGCAGGTGAACACTTTATTCACCAGGGCAGATTCTTTCACACCAAAAGCTAAAAGCCCTGGGGAAAAAATGGCATAGGTCAGGTATTTCACCACCAGCAGCAGGTGCTGGAGACCCACAGACATAGCTCAACTGTGTTCATGCTGTGCTCTGCCCAAATTATCACACCTCGTTTCTTCATAAAGCCAAGTAGCTGAGGATTCACTCACCCAGAAGTAGGATGAGGACTTCAGCTCTGACATTATTTCTGCAGAATGTGACACACTCTCCCACCCAGCATGCCCATGTGGACTGTGTCTCTGGTAAAGTGCTTTGCTAATACACTTAAACTGCTCCCACAGCCTCAAACTCCACACAGAGACCCGGAGAAAGCACAACAGGTGGGTTTCAATGAAGGAACATTGTCTTAGAGGTCTTGGCCAAATGCAGAAGTTATATACAACACTCAACTTTCCTTAGAAACAGGGTTCCTCTGTTTATGAGCAGGGACCAAATCCAGGAGGATTCTACTTCTAATAGCTACTTCTAGAGCTGAAGACAAAGAAGGTGGCATCTCGGGAATCCTGCTCCCACTTAATCAGCAAGAGCTTTGCCAGTGAGTTCAGTGAGAGAAGGATTGCAGCTTGGTCTTAAGATCATCCATCTGAAGAAGAGCATGGCTACAGGCCTTGGCAAACAAAATCTAACCGAGGCATAGCTTGGCTTCTCAGGTCGACAAGCTCTCTTAACTTCCTATTCAGGTTTCTGAATGTTAAGAACTGAAACTTTTAACTCAAATCTAAGGCTGAAGGAGAAGTAAAAAACTTCACACAGGCCTGAGGGAGAAGAGAAGCACAACACAGTGTTCTTTTACTGCTACTCCAAGGGACTTCAATGAGAGATGAGCATCCCATGTACTCACCTTTCCTTCTTTTAAGGCAAGAAATAAGCTGAGACAGCCGTATCAGAAGAGTGTTTGATAGGACTGCATACCAGCCCACAAAATCTTATAAGGTACTCTACGGAAATCTGAAGCTCAAGAAAGTGCAAGCAGAAATAAACTTATGGTAATGGTATTTGAGACTAAAGCTGTTCTTTCAGTAGCTTTTTTTTAGAAAAGAATGGTTTGCCTTTTTTATTAAAATCCATGGAATTTGCTTCATGTAGGAGCATAAAGCCACCTTATTATAAAGAAACCTTTGTAATTTTATACCTCAGCAGTGCTAAAGTAAGGAATTCTAAATTTTGTAAATTGTATCTGAAGTGAAGGATCAGATTCTGATTTGAAATGAGAGCAATTCATATTACTTACAAGTGAACAAATGGGAAAATCTCTCCCATTCAGATATAATCCTGAAAATAGAGGGCTGCTATTGGCTTCAGCAGCCCTCGATGCAGTCCTAAATCCAAATGCAAACCCAAATGCCAAAGCATCCCTTGCTTGAGGCCTGTCTCCATGAGCACAGCACACACTGAGAAGGCTGTTCCGATCAGAGTGGGAAACGTCAGGATAACCTTGCCAGTGTGACACTGCAGCTTCTGCCTGCTGGAAACCACAGAGGAGTACAGAAGCATAATTTTTAAAATTTGCCTAAACTTGGTAATGCTTTGCAAGACCCAGCTGGCGTTGAGGTAAACATTCAGAAGAATTTTGATCTTGCAAGATGTCAAAACTTTTCCAATTTATGAACAAAGGCCTGACACATTTTTAAGAAAGAAAGAGGTGCGAACTGTCTGTGACACATTTATTTCTCTGGAGTCTTGTATTCACTTCTGCAAATTGAAGCCCATATATATTTAAAAAAACCCAAAACTAAACCAGTAGTACATGAAACTGTAACCAAGTCCTCTTTCTTTCTTTCCCTCACTTTCCTGGCTCAAGGCATCAAAAACTGGCAGATTATCAAAGGGGGAATAAGGCTGATAGACTAACTGCATGAAATTCTTGTGTAACAGGATTTGTGGAGGGAAGGATTAAACTCCTATACCTGATTGAGGATAACAAGTCATCTTTTCTTTTCATCCTTATACAAAATTTGACTGAAGGTTTTAAAAGTGGCTCAAAAAATACTGAAAATGCTCCCCTCTAATTAAAAAACCTTGTAAATAGGCTATGCCCTGTGCTAACTCCACATCAGCTATATAGGTCAATCCAACACTTGTAGCAAAGAAAGTCTTTAATATGTTATTCAAAATAAATCAGGACTTCATGCTCATTCCAAAAGCAAACAATGAGATTATGGAAGAAGAAGGTGCAAGACCCACAAACTCCTCCAGTGCCTCACCTGTTAGGATGATGATTATCACCACAGCAAAGATGTCTGGGTATTTTGCTAGCACTCCGGGAGCATCCATCGTCATGTATTTTTTACAAAATTTTTCAATGTGCTGCCCTATGATTTCATCAAACGTCGCGCTCCAGGCTCTGGCCACACTCGAGGTTCCTGCCAGAGGATAGAAAGGACAAAGATCACCCTTTGTGGCTGGCACATGTTCCAAACCAGGGAGAGCCTTGTAAGGTGTTTCAATACAGAGGGCCTCAAAGCAACCTTGCACGTGCTCCCAGGTGCTGGGAGCAGCCTTTCATATCCATACCCAGCCCACAGCCTGTGTTCATGCTTGGCATCTGCTCTGATAGTAACACACACAGGTGGTGGGCCGCAGACTCATGCTGAGCTGACAAGATGAGAAAAGTATTTTTAGTCTGGCTTCTTTGCAAACCTCAACTTTGCCTTTGATACTGCCTTGACTGACCTTTTCCTTACACCCCCAAGGGCCTGCCCTTCCCCCAAACCTGGTAATTTCTGTTACCAGAGAGGTCCAAAGGTAATGCTGGCAGAAGTCCCTGGCAGCCCCAGTCAGGTGGCTGCCGCCCAGGCAGAGGGTCCTTACAGAATCCAGCTGCCCTCCAGCAGTGCAATGCTGCAACATCAGAGCCTGGGCCACACCAGTGGCCAGCTCTGCACTCTGGCAACACCCAGGTCTGCTCTGACCCCCAGTGCTAGAGCATCCCAGCAGGAAAAAGACTCAGATACAATTTACATGTTATCTGAGGATAAGTCAGCCTATTGCAGAACGCTGGGGATGACCATAGCAAGTGGAACACTTCCTGCCTGCGGCAAATGCTCAGGCTTTGCCCTCTGGGACTGCTTTTTGTTTCTGTTTGAGTGCATCCAACTGTGTGCAGCTTGCTGAGGTGAGGACTGAACCTGGGTCTCAGGACAAGAAAGCTGGGGACAGTGTCTGGGCCATAAAAGTAATTTTAGAGAACCAGAATAGTAACAACAAAGAACTACCACCAGACAGTGACAGTATTTTGGGAAATAAGTTGGATTTTAAAAGCCAACTTCTCCCTCTCCTGTGTTAATGTGGCTACTCTTACACTCCCAATGTCTCATACAGTACATACACTGTATATAACAGCACCTAATTGCATATCATAATTATTACTGTACATAATTACCTAGTTTAAAAAAGAGCTTGGCTTGGTTTTGGCTTGCAGAGCAGCTCCTCACAGGATGGCATCAGGGGCCCCTTTCCACCCAGAACAGTCTGTCCTGCCACACTCACCTGTGAGTGGGTGCTCAGGTCCCAACTCCGGCACCTGCAATCCTGTCAAACAATGTCTGTGCTCACCTACAGCCAAATCCTCTGCAGCAGCGGTGGGCAGCACCTGCAGCACAGCTGGGAACACTCACCTGCCCAATCCAGCTTTGCAACAGCATAAAAATTAAGCTGCAGAACAGACCTGCTGGGAGACTCTTCTGTTCACCAAGACAGAAAAGTGCACAGTGTGAACACCTTTAAAGAGTTTGGACATCACTGCCATCAATTTAATCTTGAGAAATTGCAAAGGTTATCATACACCACATTACAATTTTTCAGGTTAGCTTTGGCACGATTCGAGGAAAAAGACTATTTTAGTGCTATTTTTTTGTCCTAGCTCTAATATTTTATGTTCTAGGACAGGAACACCCAGCTCCTGCATGTGTTATATTAGATGCCAGCTGCTTTGATGCCAGTTCTACAAAACTATGAGCCATTTATCCTGAACTCTCTGTAACCAACAGGCTTGAGGGAGCAGGGGGAATCTGACATTCTTTCAACAGCACAGACACCTGGATAATATGTTGCTGTTATTAGAGAGCACAGTGCAAAGACATTCAGCTGGTACCCAGGAGGACTTACTAGTTCTGCGTCAGCATAGCCTCACCAGAGCAGATTTGGCTCCTGCCTACAGCATGCAGCTCCCAGGAGGACTGCAGAGCTCAGGTGCTGGGCTCGCTGCAGGAACAGGCACAGGCAAGGTCACCAAGTGCCAGGAAACCCCAGCAGCACCTACTTACCAGAGATGCTGCTACTCATCATCCTACCAGCTCCCACCAGTTTCTAGTTCCTGAAACGCATCTCACGATCTGGCAGTTCCCCAAACCCACATCATCCCAGAAGAAAGTTCACATCAGATCCTGGACCTGGACACCTTTCTCCTTGTCTCTAGACCATAACTGATAAGTGGCACGCCCAATTATTTCTCATCACCCACCTCCAAGACTCCACATGAGCCTTCCCCCAAGTAAAATCACTTCAATTAATTAAAAGTTACTGGCCACCCATCCTTGGGACTCCAGGATTTCTTTTTCCACCCTCACAATACATCCTGAACCAATGTTTGAGAACCTCAGCACGAAAACACCAAGCTGACCAAGCACTTTAGAGATGCACATTTTTGATACACTGCTTGGCATTTTCTCAGCAAGATTAAGACAAAAACCAGCTTTCTGCCCCTCTGGCTCTGAAGTGCAGCACGTGCCTGTCAGAGACTGGAAGGACTCATGTACCAAGACATTTAAGGATGTCTGCGTGTTTGAGAGTGAGCAGGTCAAGCTTTGTCCTGCTGAGGCAGTGCCCTGCCCCCACACCCCCAGCCTCTATTCCAGCACTGCTTTGGCACACCAGGGGCAGGGCTACACTCTGCCTAACCCGGCTCTCTAGTGGCCAAATGACCACAAATCCCACCTGGGGGGAGGGCCCATAAAGGCCCAGGGGTTTTTATGGCTGAGCATGAGTGCAGCACGTCTTGACCCTACCTTCCTCTTGGAGTTTGTATCTAAACACTGCTGGAACCCAGGTGCTGGTAGCTACGTGTGCTTTTCTATATCTTCTCTGTCTTCCCCTCCTTCTTCTAATTCCCTCTTCTTGGAAGAGTTTGAGTAACTAACATGGAACAGGTTTAAAGTTTGCTAAGTTGGATGGGCTAAATTAATGCTGTGAGAAGTGTTTTATGTTGATCAGATGTTGTAGTAAGTCTTTAGCCAAAGTCTCCTAATTTTTCAAAGTTTGCCAGTAAACTTTTGTGTTGTTTTGACCTCTTGAGACTATTTGGTCAGTATTTCTCCCGTGTGTCCAACTCAGAGTACAGGAACCATTTGACACTTTCAAAAGTCTCATTGAGTGAGTTGATTGGGGCCTTACAGTGGCAGCCAACATATCCTTCTCCTCCACGCCCCAGAAGCTGCTGGGAGTTGTCCTTGCTCTCAAGAGAGGCAATTAGCTCTGAGAAAAAAGCTGGGTAAGATAAAGAGACCTCCTACACCTCATATCCTCCCCCAGTGTTCTTCCACCTTAGCCACCCTTTCTCACAAATTATGAGAAAGACAGTTTGCAAATACTCATTCTTGACACAGAACTGAAATAAAAGTAATGAAGTTGTATTTGAACACATTCATGAATAGTATCTACTTATTTTTAACTGAATTCCCTGCCTTGTGACAATACACTGATCAGTCAACTCCGAAATAAGAACTCAGACAGTTGTTCAAAATCCATTATGAGAGGAAAAAAAAAAATCTCGGAAATACCACTCTGAGCCCAGATCCTCGGAGCAGAACATTCAGTAGGCAAAACTTTTCATTGTGCATTTGCAGAATCAGGTTTTGGGACAGCAACCACGGCTATGTCACTCATTTTGGTCGTCCAGTATCATGGTAGGAATGGCCCCAAAACCAACTAGATGAAGGGCATGAAGGAGACGATTTATCATTACCTTTCTGGAACAGAAGAAAAATTACCAAGAAGTCTGTTCAATTTTTCTACGTGTAGCCTAAGCAGAGTCCATCGTAGGAGTGTGGAAGAAATTATACACTTACTTTTTAAAAAATTATTTTTATCTACTCCTTGCAGTGAATGTAATTCACGAAATAGCTAGAGGACTCAGATTTCTTAAGGAGACGAGTTTAATTACTCTGGCTTTTCATCTTCTCTTTCATTTTTTTTTTTTTTAAGAAGGAGGAGAAGAGGAGTAAAATATTTCAGGTAACACACAGAGGAAAGCCAGCATGATCTCAGACTTGCAGCTGCTATGCCACTATGTTGTTCTTGATATGCTCTTACCCTCCAAGCACCATGGAAACTAAATTCCGAGGTAATGCTTACAAATCCCATAAAACGCATTTTAAAAAAACCGACTCCCTTTAGTAATTTAGCAAACAGTTGGTTTTCAGTTTAACTAGCAAGCTTTCAGTCTCAACTGGCGTTGCAGCCTTAGAGGCGTGATAACAAGCAGCCTGCCCAGAATGTGCTTGAAAAGACACAAATTCTTAATTAGCAAAGTGTGGCTTAGTTTTAATGCATCAGCTGAGTTGCACAGCGCATGCTCTGAGCTTGAGCCAGGGCCTCTCCTAGTGGGAGTCAAGGGCTTAGAAGGGATTTGGTTTGTATTTTCCAGAGACTGTGAACCTGCAGATCATCTCAAGATTAATTCTGCAGCAATTCACAAGACAAAACTCTTATCTCCAGATACTTTAAATAGATCCCAAAGGGACCAGAATTAATCCTTGGATCAGCTGTGAGTACAGACACTGTAGAAAAGCATCTTTCCATGAGCAGCTCCTTTCTAAGCAGACAGGACACTCTTTAGCACCCTAGCAAGAGTGCAGAAGGCAGGGGATGCCAGAGGGATGAGGTGGAGATTCAGAGGAATTCCCAGCAGCAATAAGCCCTCAGTCAGCAGCATAGGAGCCATCAAAGACGTATCCCACTGATGAGTCCAGAAACCCTGGGTGAGTGCAAGAGTGAAGCATTCATTTTGTAACAGTAACACAGGCACCAAAACAAGGGTGACTACACACCAGGCTGCCAGGTTGAACTAAAGCTAGGCTCTGGCAGCACACCCACCATACTTACCAATAACATAGGACAGGATTAGATTCCAGCCTGTGATGAAGGCCCACAGCTCACCCACAGTCACGTAGCTGTAGAGATAAGCTGATCCTGTCTTAGGAACTCGAGCACCGAATTCTCCATAGCAGAGTCCGGCCAGCACCGAAGCCAAGGCAGCAATCAAGAAGGAGATAACAATGGCAGGTCCTGCGTTTTCCCGTGCCACAGCTCCAGCCAGGACATAGACACCAGCACCCAAAGTGCTGCCTACACCCAGGGCCACCAAGTCAAACGTGTTAAGGCATCGCGACAGGCGACTGTCTTCTCGAGAGCAGTCCACATTTTTCCGACGAAGAAGCTGGTTTCCAAAATTGGTAATTTTTTGACACTCCATCTTCCTGTTTGGGCCTGCAAGAAAGATGCTGCCATCATAATCCAGACCAGAATACCTTCCTACATCAACATCACTGCACAGGTACAATGCTACGGCCCTGTTACATTTCAGCAAATGAAACTTCCCATTTTCCACCTTTTTATAAGATTAAATGTCTCCTTTTGACATTTGATCTAGACTTACCATGGGGAATTAAAATAAACAACCCCACAGTTCTGCTTCCAACTCTCAGTCATGCTTCAAACCTTGAGCAATCCCGGGAGAGAAGCAATACTTCACTCCCACCCTACTCCATAGTCACTTAGTTCACACACAAGTGGACAAACTAAAAACGCAAATTTTCTCTTTCAGATTTCAGAGGGGTTTTCTTGTTCTGGGCAAGAAAGTACTTTAAAAGTGAATGTCCCAGTTTCCCCATCTACCATAATTTGTTTCACATTGCAGAGAGCTTGTGGAGTGCACAAACCCTGTACTACTGGGATGAATTTAAACCTGAGGACGTTACAGGGATGTACATAACACCTCTCAACCTGATAGCCTGAGGAAACAGCCACTCCAGGATAACCTCCTCCGTAAGATGTGTTGCGCAGACATCAGATTTTCTCTGCTTTGCTCTACAAGTCTCCAGGCTGTGTGGCCACAGCCTACAAGGATGAACCTCATCTTCCATCTCAGACTGCATCCTTCAGCTCCAATAGCCTCACCCTGATATCCACACTGCACCATTAAGCCTGGCTTAAGCAACAGGGCTTTAAAAATGTTTCTTCATTAATTATGGAAAAAGAAAAAGGTTCTTTTATTTTGATGCAATGCTGGACTGAGACATACATTTTCCAGTAGTACACACTGCACACAGACATCAATACTGTGCTGAGAATAACGTGAAGGCAAAAATACTCCTAAATGCAATTTACAGTACACTTCAGTGAGACTAGTACTTAATCAGCTCCAGCTAAAATCTAGTGTAAAAGGTGGGAAAATACATGCTAAGAAACTTAATTAACTGAGGCAACTGTTAAATTCATGCTTCAATTTTGTTACCACAGCATCAACTACAAAACCAAAAATTCTCTTCACTTTTCCAAGACCCTCGTCATAAGTCCTGGCTTAAATCCCTTTTTCTTGGCTTTACAATAACTCCCCTACTATGAGAAAGTAATTACAACTGCAGGAACAAGGCTGAGGATTTACAAGGCTCACTGTGTCAGGAATTGTACCCCACCAACAAACACGCTCTCAAACACGCTCCCAACAGACATGGATTTAGACAAATAAAGAAAGGCAGGTTTTAGGCCAATCTTACAAAAATCTTGTTTTATTAACCATGGGAGTTCCCAATACATACAGAGAGGGAAAACTATCTTCTCCCTTCAGCAGGAAGACACACCTAAGTCTTTACCTAAACGCACTCACGTCAGATTGAGTGAACAACCTCCTTTTCACCTGAACCTTACCCAAATCCATGGCAGCCAGGATTGCATTTGGCTGGACAACTGCCCACCTCCCTAAAGCTGGGACACAGCACTCGCAAACTTTGAAATGGATTAAAAGGACAAGAAGATTGTGGTACTGGAGTGTCTCCTATGAATTCTGTTGCTTTCTAGGATGCTACCTAACAACAATGCCAGGCCTTTTACTTCCTACACAGCCATCCACCTTAACAAAATCTGGTATCCTGCAAAACAAACATAACTTAGTGGTTTTAATTCTGCACTGAATGAAGGGGTAACTGGTCCCCAATTCCCTGCCTTGTCACAGACACACACATTACGAGAAATCACTTCCTTGGCAAAAACAGGGCTGGTGAGGGGCAATGTCCCCAGGAGAGGAACAGACCCTTGGTGCAGAGGTGGAGGATCAGGGTGAGAATTTGGCAAGGTCCTAGGGGGCAGGGGGACATACAATTTATTCACTAAAAAAATAAACCTAGTGAATTATTTCAAGTGTATATATCACACAAGAGCATCCCAGAAGAAACATATTTCAAAGCAATTTCATTTGGAAGCTCCCTTGGGCCTATCTACAGGTGTGCACAGCTGTACTCTAGCCATCAAGAATAAAGCAAAACTGCTTTTTATGAATAATTTGCTTAGAAGAGAGGCTATTTAATTATAACAGACCTGGAAATTAGGACCAACATCCTGCAACTGGATTAATGCCAGCAGACAGTGCTCTTCCAGGTGAACTCCAGATTAAGATATCAACTGCCTCTTTCACAAAAAACATGTCAAAGTCTGAGCATCCCTGTTGTGAACAGAATACTTCCCATAGCCTGCAGGTAACAAACAGGGAACCTACAATGCAGCCATGTTCTGTGGCCCTTACACACAGCACTGTCATTCATCTCACAGGCCACTGATCACCATCCAAGCATCTCTTACACATTTTCTTTGCTTTTGAAACAGCAGGTACCAAATCAACATTTTACTTTCAATTATATTCACTGTCACTTAACAAAGAGACCTTTAATGAAGACAAGTGGGATTTTTTTCAGTAGAACGATCTTTTGGTTTAGCAGGATGCAGTCATTACATCTCTGCCCAAAACCTTCTGCGTATCATTTGTTATCTTTGCAAGTCTATCAAAGGGTGATTTTGGCAGAGATTATGATTTCCCCCCTCCTTAGAAGTTGGATCCAGCTGTGATTTTGCCTTCTGAAACAGTCATCCTTGACTTTGAAGTGACCCTTTGTTCTGGGCTGGTTCCACTCCCAGCCTCACTTGAAAAGATGAGCCTTTTTTTGAATGCACAGTCAGTATTCCTGTGGCATAATGCAGTCCTAATAACATAAAACAATATAAATTATTCCAGAAATGTTTCCAGATGGTACCTAACCACCTTCAAGCTGAGGAAACCTGAATCTGAACGAATATAGTTTTGTTCTGCACATGCCAAGCTCTCACCCCTGCCTTAGCTCTGGTTTCTCTGATGAGAAACACTGAGCTGCAAGTCCCAGCCACTCAGACTCTGGGTAAGACTTGGGGTATCTCCATGTTCTGGATACCTCTGCTGGAGCAGAGGTCTTTGGGAGTGGTGGGAAGCAAGGACACACCCAGGCAGCCTAGCAGGGTGGACCCCGGGCCAGGGGCCACATCCTTGGGTGAATCCTGTCCCACCAAAGTCAATGGCAAAGCTCCCACCAACTTCAATAGTCCAACTGCTACTGGTGTTTTATTTACAGTGCATTTCATGTTTATTACTTTTGTTCCCTGTCCAACTTTTTGTCTTGACTCTATTGTATTATCAAATAAAATAAGATATTCTTCCTCCTTTTATCTAATGGGTAACATACCTATTATATCAGGTTGATAGATTTCCTTCCCCATTCCTCAAACCCGTAAGAAAATAAGCAATCTGCCATGTGGTTGACAGCAAAAAGTAAACCATAATAAACATCTGTCCAGCTAAACATAAAACACCATGTGTAAAAATAAGCTGACAGGGCACCATTTTACATAAGCAATACTATCACTTCCTCAACAATTACAAGTTGTTTCAACTTCTGAAACACCACCCCTTACCTACTTCAAGGCATTGCTGTTCCTGAGAATTTTCTTCTCCAATTTGCAGAAGAGCATAAAACTAAAGCTGATTAAGCAGAACAAGGAGTTTTCTACTAAGGAAAGAATAAAACCTAAGCCTAACCTTGCTGCATGTCCAACATCTAAGTCCCCAGACATCTCCTTGAAGGAGGAGTGAGCTGAAATCTTCGTTCAGCATTGTCCCACATGTGCTTATATCCATTTTGGAACACATGGAAATGTCTACTGCCCCACATGTGCTTATATCCATTTTGAAACACATGGAAATGTCTACTGCCACCAGTACCCTTCTCTCACAGCTAAGTCATGTCCTGTGGACAATCTGACATTTGTTGAAGACCAAAAGGATGCTGAGGAAAAATATGCCCCATACAGCCGTATAATCACTGCTTCAAGTCTGCAGAACAAAGAGCTTGCGCTGGTGCCGGTATATTTGACAATGTAGAATGGTTTTCACCCTGTATTTTTAGCTCAAACATGGTTCCCAAATAAGCATGTAGTGATGATGCCAACCAGTTGATCAACACATGGGTAACAAACCCCTTTGGGAGCCGTTTCCAAAAGGCTGGTTTTGCTGCTTCAGTCCCCAGGGCAGCATCATTCACACAGAAGTCCTACAGAGGAAAAGAGGTAGAAAACCTCAGTTCTTACTACTGCTGTCAGCATTACAGGTATTTTTGAGGTGTCAGATTTGACTGTAGACTCCTAAAAGCAAAAGATCATAAAGTAAGGGACCAAACTAAATCTCCTGAATGTTTTCTGAAGCATTACTCAGAAAACCAAATCACCAAGGCACCTCAGTCCTGAGTGTGATCCATTCCAGTTTAAAGCAAGAATTGTGTCAGGTATGTCCTTCCAAAATGTCTTGCCTTGGAAAACACCAATGTTTTCTGTCACTCTGCAACAAGCAACAGAGCAGAGTCAAGATGACTAGAGAAGATGCTGAGCCTTCCCAACAGGTATTTGAGCACCTGTCTCTAGAGTTTTAGAAACAGAAGCAAAGGATGTGGCATCAGACTCTAAGCTGCATCTGGCTGTGTCCCTGAAGCGGCTGCAAGTGTCCCCAACAGCTGTGCTGGAGCAGGCAGGCAGTTTAGAAAGACACGCTTGGGACAAATGCTGAGGACTGATTCAGAGACTTTGACTGTAGCCATTTGCAATGCAGCCACCAGCAAAAAGGCCAGTGAAAGCAAAGGCATGACCAAGCATTATGCAAAGCTGGAAGTTATCTCACTGTAGCAGCAGCAATGGCAGGGAGTCCAAGCCAAAAGCCACCAAAGTAGCTGCAATTCTTTGCATTTGTTTCATTGTGTGTGAAGAGATGTTGACCTGCTGAAGTATTTTAACTAGAAAATGAAGGTATTGTCTATGAGCTGTTAAATTGTTCCCTTACAGATTATCTTTTTTTATAAAATGTGTGCAAATGTATGCATATATCTCAATATACATTAATCTAGATTACATTTGAGTGT